AAAAAAAAAAAAAAAAAATTCGAATTAACATGCATGTGTAATTCTACATACAGGGAAATTGGGGTTTAATTTGATGAGAAAGCTATAGGAAGGCATAAAATGTTATTTTGTTGGAAGAAAAGTGATTTTGTCTAGACTTCAATTTTGTGAGATTGTTTCAGAGTGTAGATTTAGCGAAGGAAATATGTAAGATGTAAAGAGAGATGGCTATAAAGAGATAATGTTTTTGGATAAGAAAAAATTTTGTAAGGTGAGATTTTGCCCTCAAAACTAGAAGGTTAGAGTAAGTGCAGAAGGTTTGCAAGGAGTGAAACTTATAAAAGAAATTTGTAGGTATAGTGAAGTTGGCTATAATTGACATCAAAAGAGGCATACCAAAGAAGTCTTGGAAGGTTACTGGCTATAATAATGGGTCCACCTCCACAGCAGTGTCCCCAGTGTTCTGACTGGGAAATAGATGCCTCTCCGAACTCCCCGAGTGCTCCCGTAACCCATCAGGTATGCTACCATTTCATCTCTTGATGGAGTTAGAGGTCAGCTCCCCTTGCCCTCACTACTTCAACTAATTGACACAACATCGCTGTTATTTCAATTGCACAGCACCTCTGTGCTCATCAAGTGGACCCACGATTGGGCTGTAGATTGCTGGGCCAGATCACGTCTCTGCTATAGGTGCACTCTCTCTCTCAAGGGCAGAGGAGTCCCTCAGGTTGTCCCAGTCCCTTAGGGAATCTGAGTCAGACGAATCTGTGACCCCTCTCCACTCACAGAGGATATTTGTCAATTAGCAACAGTCTTGTGAGGCCCTTTGGCAGCCTGGCTACATTCCATTCTAGCTTTGGGGTCGTTGATTAGTTTTATAGCTCAAACAGCTTCCCAGATACCCATGCTGGGGCGACTCTGGACATTTGGGGCAGCACTAGACAGTAGTATTGGATATGTGTGGTATCCTGCCTGCCTGGTGTTCACAGCCACCTCCTGTGGTGTTCACAGGGTTGATTCTTGGCTGTCCAAGGGTCAAGATGGTTTGTTCCTCAAACTGAGTTTTAGTGGCAGTCAAAATGATTAAAGATAACAGCCATCTCCATGCCACAGTGTGTGTACGTGGATCACAGCCATGCTTCCCATCCTGAGTTGATATAAACACACTCAGGCACTGAAGCAATATAGCTGCCAAAGTGCTTTGCTTTCCCTAGTCTTTGCTATCAACTTTCAGCAGTCTTGTGGCTGAACTGGTGGTGTTTCAATGCACTGTGCTGAACTCAGCTCCTCTGTCTTGGGCTAAGCAAGGTGGTACTTGCTACCAGTCCAGGCTGGATATGCAAGCTCCTCCCAAAACAGATGGGAGTTTCCAACTCTTCCATTGGCAGGTCTTTGTGTCAGTGGAACTTATTCATTCACAGTGTATCTCACTGTGATTTACATCTTTATAGGCTCTTACTAAGGTTTGTGTAGATTCTGAACATCTCTTTTATTTAACAAGTCTGTTTTGTGTAATGTCCTTGTATGTGTGAATCTGAGCCTCCCCAGATGCTCTTCCCTTTGCTGCCACTTTTGGCTTCTAGCCTTGACCACTCCTTGCTATTTGGGTGAAGTAATTGTGACAGGGAAAGCTGACATCTCATTTTGTCAAGAAATGTAAATGGCTGGCATGAGGCACATGGGGTAACCCTCCCACGTAAATCCCACAGGCTTCATGTTTGGTCATTAAATGGCACAACTCCAAGACAGCCTTTTGACACCAGAAGTGCCAAAAATCCTGAGTCCCAACCAGGAGTGAATCCCCCCAGTGGGATTACAGAAAAGCACCAGACCACCACTGACTCCTCAGGGCCAGTACTGGTGTGGGCAGAAGCCAGGTTCCTTCACCAAAGGTGCTGGGAGTGTCTTATCTTCTTTTCTCACTGTAGAAGAAGACTGTGGTAATCCAGCTGGGCTGCCTCAGGGAGGCTGGACTATGGGTGGGCAAGAAGGTGCCGCTGGACAGGCTGAGATGTGGGATCAGGAGACGGTCTGGCTGGGCCATCTTCTCTGGGTGAGGGGAGAGAATCCTGGGGAGGAGAATGGGTACTTACACTCTCACACTATCGTCATCCAAGTCCCATATTGGTGTTCACAAATATGGGCTCCGATCCTTTATCTAAGAAGCAGCCTTGGACACCTGACTCCTGCTATGCTGTAAGAGGTGCACATCGATGCCCACAAGGTTCGATTTGATATCTTTTTATTTTTGGTAGTGAGGATCGAACTCGGGACCTTGCGCTTGCAAGGCAGGCACCAGAACCACTGAGCTAAATCCCTGGCCCTGGATTTGATATCTTTGTCATTTTCTGCACAAATTTTACAGAGATGAAAGTGATGCCTTTTGTACAATGTAGTTCATATTGTTCCCATGTAAATTTTCTATGCTTTTGAGGTGCAAGTTCCCTCATTTGGGACTAAAACTTCTCCCAGCTAAACTACGGAAAAAAATCCTTCCCTGTTGCCCTCAATCAGGACTTGAAATAGAGGCTTGTTCCAAACCAAAGCACTGCTCTTGGTGAAAGGCGAGCAATTACACATCACCCCATATGCACAGCCATCATTGTGCTACTCACAGTCTCCCAGTCCTAAGCCTTCCAGGCCAAGAGGAGGGAGTTACACACTGATTTAATAATGACTCCAAATGACTTGAATCAAACACACAAGAATTATAGCAGTACTAGAGTATTTAAGAGTGTAAGATGCTTAAGAATAAAAGCAAACAAGTGCATTTTAAAAATGTCACTGGCATCTTCCTCCACTCAGGTGACGTTGCACCTAGATTATGTCAACAGCTTCCCCAGGGCTCACTCAGTTGTGTATGTCCATGGCTCCCAGGCCCACTGGATCTCTCTTCTGTGGCCTGTGCTGAGTCTTTGTGAACTCTCTAGCTGACTTCCTGCCCACTGTAGGCACTGCAGGACACCCCTCTAGACAGCCTCAGCAGCAGCAGGCGCCTCACTGGGCTCAGTGCAGCCCTTCCTGCCCTAGCCTGCCATAGAGGAGACAGAGAGATCCCTGAATGCTGCTCCTCAGAAGGGCCACCTCCTGAGCTGCAGGCTCTTCAAAGGGTGCAGGTTAGAGGTTTAGCCTGTGTTTTATTGTCCTATCTTCTGGGCCCACTACAGGGCTCATGGAAAGGGGATACTTCCTCTTCCAAGAAGCTCCTTTTGTTCTCCCTTGGGCTGACCCCACAGGTTGGATATTCCTGCCCTGGGAGCCTTCGAGATGGGGAGGCATGCACAGACAGCCATCAGGTCAGCCTGTTTCTAACTCCCTGGGCTCTGGGTGTGTGCACAAATCCCTCAAGCCAGAAGGTCCTGAGACTGGACAGCCCACCAGAGGGCTGCCAGGGCTTGGCTTTTGCAAGCAGAGCAGGAGATGAGAGGCCTCAGAAACTGCCCTGCAGGGGCCTCTTCTCAGTCCTGCAACTTGATTTAGGAGCTTCTGAGCCTCCTAATATCAACTCAGCTATGTTGCCCTGTGATTCAGTCACCCTCAAAAGCCCCACCTACGAGCATGTGAGGTTCTTGGGGAATACCTAGATATAAACCACAACACCTATGCACTGAAAATAATATGTACCACCTAGGTTTCTGGTGGGGTCAATGGGGACAGCCCAGGCATTCCACCTGGGAGAAGTTCGCTGGTGTCCAGGCCATGTTAGTGCCTCCATTCCCTGAAGTGTTCTTCCCAGCACCCGAGTGTCCTACAGATAGTTTTCCCCTAGGTCAAGAATTCCTGGAGGTCAGGGACACTTTAAATTTGTCTCAGCTTTCTTGGCACCAGGAACAGTGCCTAGCACATACCATCTAGATGGAGACTGGCCAGCTGGGGGACTGTGGGACTACCCCACAGCTGCCACAACTGGGCACCACGGCCCCATGCTGTGGCTCATTCCTTCCACAGAAACACAAGAGCCATGGCAAAGTTTCTGGGACTTTTATTTTTACTCATTTGTATTTTTGAAAGCCAGTGAGGATGGGCTAACTTGTGGTCCCCCTTGGGGTGCACTCCTGTGTGGCCAGCCCCCCCACCTCCCCCAGCCCACCCTCCACCTGCCAGTTGCTCCCTGTCACCTGGGTGTGGAAGACAACCTGCACTGGTGCTCTCCAGTGGCTGCAGCTCCAGGCCCAGGGCCAGGGCGACCCCAGAAAGGAAGGGGTGGGGCGCAGCCTGTCAGGGACCTCCTCCCACCCTCCCTGCCTAGGCGCTCCTTCTGGAGCAGCAGGGGTGCCTGAGACCCTTTCCAGCCCTTCCTTTCCTCCCCTGCTGGGTACTCTCTTGTCTATGGGTGGTCCTGTCCTTGGGGACGCAGGGCATGCGCAGCAGCTCTCAGGCAGGGCGTGGCTCTAGGACTCCCTCCTCCTTTCTCACCCCAGCCTCCCCTCTTCCAGCCAGCCAGGGTAAAATAGGGAGAGGGCACGGGAGGAGCCCTGCAGCTCTGGATCCTCAATGCTAGGGTCAAAGTTGTTTTTTCCGCAGGACCACTTTGTCTTCTGAGCTGGTTTCCTGCAACCTGGGTTATGGGATGGGCTGGCCTGTGCAGGTCTGAGGAGCACTCCTGGACAACAGCTCCACCTCTCCATCGCTGGCCCCTGGCTCCCAGCCAGCAGCCCCCACCCCCGGATCTCAGCGGAGGGTCTGGGGTGCACCGTCAGGCTCCCAGCTGCAGAGCCTGGTCACCGTTGCCTCCCTGTGCCCTGGGAGGTGTGCCGGTCTCCCGGAGTTCGTGTGGTCACCCTTGCGCCTCCTTGTCCCTCTCCTCCCTTGTCCCAGTCCTAGCCTCTCCGCCGCCCGGCGCACAGAAGGGGAGGGCGGGACCGGGCGTCACGCGCTGTGCGCGCCCAGGCCGAGCACCGAGAAGGCTGCGCGGTGCTTGCGGAGCAGCAGACGGATCTTCTCGTCGTCTGAGTCGGGGTCCAGGGGCTTGTTGTACTCGTCGTCCTCGTTCTCCGAGGGGGCGTGGTCCCCGCCCGCGCCCGCACCCCCCGGGGCCCGCGGCGTGGAGGAGGAGGGCTCCAGGGCGCTCTTCTTGCGCCACTTGGTCCTGCGGTTCTGGAACCACACCTGGGGAGAGGAACAGCGGGTCACCGAGCAGCACAGCCGCCCAGCAGTGCGGCTCCTCTCTCCGGGGCGGGCGAGGGCTGGGACCCTTCTCCCATAGGGACATCAGGGCCTGTAAGTGTCACCTTGCTGAGGGTGCCGCAGCGCATTCAGCAGGGCTGTAACCAAGGAGTGGGGTCCCCACCTTCTCCTTTGCCATCTGGGACCCTTGGGTGGGAGATGCAGAAAGATCCGGGCTGGAAGGGTGGGAAGGGCCTAGTCTAGGTGCTACACAGCAGTAGGCCCTAAGAAGTCCTCTCTGCCAGGCATGTGGCTCAGAAATAGGGCTTGCCTAGCATGCAAGAGGCCCTGCCTTCCACTCCCAATATTGAAGAAAACTAAATAAAATAATTGTCTCTCCTCTTGTGGCGTCACAGTCCTTCACTGAACTTCATGAGTAATTTCCTCCTAATAACATGTACATTGAGATACCTGAAGCCTGCAGACATCTAAAGAGACAGAAAAACTTGTAAGAGGGACCCTGCAATTTCCTCCCACTGCTTTCATCTGCCTTCACGCCTTGGGGGAAATCTGGTGAAGGAGCTGGTCCCAGAGGCTGGTAACAGGCAAAGCCCAGACCTGGGTCTCAGTCTGCCCTGGACAGTCCATAAACTTGCTGTCATGGATGGGGCAGGGGATTTAGCTCAGTGGCACAGTGGCTGCCTCCCAAGCACAAGGTCCTGAGTTCAACCCTCGGTAGCGCAAAAAAACCTCAAAACCAACCAAACAAAAAAACTAAACTTGCTGTCATGGAGCTGGAAGCTCTGGTGGCTCCTGGTTTTCTTCATTGGTGTCTCTGGGGCAGTCTAGTGTCAAGCAAAAAGATCTTGTCTATACTCCTAAGTACGGGTCACCTGGCCATCCCACCATCCTTTGGGTGGGGTGAGTGGAGGGAGGCGTATCATCACCACTTTAAAGATTGGTAAACTGAGGCCAGTTTCTTTTGCTGGCTAGTGGATCCAGCAGAATCCATTTCTAATCTGGTGAAGAGGCTGCTGTTGGAGCAAGGGTTCCTGGCAGAGATGGGGGAATGCATGAGGCTGGTGTCCCACAGCTCTGGGGTGGGGTCCAGTCAGCCCTCCTCTGAGGAGCTGGGAGTTGCCTCCCTCCTACCCTGTCTGGCAGGGGCCTTTTCTGCAAGGCAGACACCTTCTCCTGCGTAGACTCACCTTGACCTGTGACTCGGTCATGCCCAGTGAGTATGCCAACCTCGCCCTCTCAGGGCCAGCCAGGTACTTGGTCTGCTCAAAGGTCTTCTCCAGCGCGAAGATCTGGTGCCCTGTGAAGGTGGGCCGAGTGTGCTTCTTCTTGTGGACGCTGTCACTCAGGGGGTCTGGGGCTGGTAGGTAGGAGGGAAGTGGGTTAGCAGATGAGTGAGGATGGGGCTCTGAGCACTGCCTGCATGATGCCAGCCCTGTCCTGTCTCTGCCACAGGGCACAGATAATAGTGACTATAAGCTCTGCCAGGTCTGAGATAAGAGGGCAGCCACCCCAGCTTATAGCTACTTAGGAACAGAAGAGGCTCAGAACCCAGGCTCGTGCCTTTCTGTCTAATGTTCTCAATGCTACTGCTTTGCCTCAGGGACAATAGGAACTTCCTGTCTGTTCCAAGACACCCACACAAGGCTGTCCTTCATGCCGCCAAGACAGGGATTGGTACCTTCCATCTACAATCATTGCCCAGGACCCTGGGTTCCTTCTTCCTTCCTCAATCCTGGACCCCAGTTTCCTGTTTCTTGGAAAGCAAGAAGAGGCAAGCCTCCAGTCCCATGGCTGTGATGACACAGGGGCACCTGACCCAAACCCCAGCCAGGGCAATCTGTTCAAGAAGGAACTGGGGACAGTGGGGCTCAACGGAAGCAGAATCCCTACATGTCTGGCAACCCAATTCCCATCTCCCCTCATGACAGGTGGGGAGACTGAGGAACAGAAAGAGGAAGAAACCTCTGGAGGGATCATTATCTTTGGTTGTCACCACTTTTGCCTTAATTCACCACGGACTGTTTTAGCCATTGTCGCATCTGTGTGTGTGTGTGTGTGTGTGTGTGTGTGTGTGTGTGTGTGTATTTAGGACTGAAGAGGAGAGGATAAAGAAGTTATGGAGCTGTGGAAGGGAGGAAATGAGGTAATGGGGAGATAGTTGGAGGCTTAAAGCACCCCCAAAACTGGGGTATAAAATAGGTTCCACTGTGTCTGGTGCTGTGCCCCTACAGCAGCCCAGGACACAGATGTCTCTGTGGTTGGCTTCAAGCCCCTCTGCAGTGGGGAAGCTTCTGTCCCTGCCAGGTCTGGTAAGGGTTTTGGTGGCATGAGGACGGTTCCCAAAGCCACTATCACTGTTCTGCTTGTGCATGTGCTCCCTGACTGGTGCTGGGCCGCTGGACCAGTTCTCTGAAAGCCCAGGCCAGTGGTGAGTGGGACGAGGGTTTCCCAAGCCTCACCTGGCTCAGCTGCTCCCAGAGGCCGGGCTGTTTTAGCTCCTACTGCTGCTGTCAACCTCAGGGAGAGGATGGGAAATGGGTCCTGATTCCCAGGAGGACCTCGCTGGGGCCCAAATGATGCCAGGTGTGAGTGGGCTCTTTGGGAAGGTGACACTGTGGCAGTTGTCCCCTGTACAGGTGGCATGGGCTCTGGGCATAAGTGGGGAGGAGGCTGCAGCTAGACACCGCATAGGTATGGGTGGGCTATGTGGCCTGCTTTGGGTCCAGAACTTCCCAGTCCCTGGGAGGAAGCTGAGCTGGGCCAGGTGGGCTGGGGCAGGGGTCAGACAGTGGTGCTAGGCAAAGCAAGCAGGGACAGGAGGAATGGGTTTCAGTCTGCACCTGTGCCCAAGCTAATGGCAGTGTAGGTGAGGTGGGCCTCCCCTCTGCCCCCCAAGTGCAGGTGGGCTGGGTGGGCTGCGTGGGCCAGGGAGGCTTGCCCTGTACTCACTGTCTCCGCACTGCCGCCCTCCACGCCAGTCCTGGCCGGTGTCTGCCCAGCAGTTCCGGGTCCGTGTGGGGTACTCGTTCCCGGCCTTGGGGAAATTCCCCACCTGGGCGCCATAGTAGACTCCCTGGGAGCCGAGTCCACCAAAGCCGGCCACGTGGGGGTAGCCGGAGAGGAGGCTGCCGTTCGGTGTGGCCACAGGCCTGCTCAGGATGTCCGTGATCCCATGGGGGGTCCCCGCAGCCAGTTGGGGGCCCAGCCCTGGGGGGCTGAGCTTGTAGAAGGAGTTCTGCATGGAGTACTGGCACACGGGAGCCTTCATCTCTGAGAACTGGGCCAGTGGTGTGTTGTTCAGCAGAAAGGTCCCCTGCAGGTTGGACTCCATGATCTCCTGGTCAGGCAGCAGGAAGCAAGAAGCCCAAATCCAGGCCTTCCTAAAGCCCAAGACCTCAAGCTCCGGCCCTGAGTGTCATGGCAGGCTTGGAGAGTCAGAAGCTGCTTGAGCCTCTGTGTGCCTTGCACCTAGAGCATCCGGTCGCCAGGCACCCACGTCAGCGCTCCACGGTCAGGTGCCACCAGGTTGGTGGCAGGCCTCCCCAGCACTCCTCTTCTGCCTGCCCTGGCCTGGTCAGGGTTCTGCCCGCCCACACTCAGCACAGCCCAGTCCTCTGTCTCTGAGTCTGGGGACCCTCCATGAGAAGTTGAAGTTCAGAGAAGGAACATTTCCCTGATAAAGATATGGCCCATTAGAATACAGAGCAGAGACTGGCTGGGCTGGGTGAGCTGCGTCGTCATTGGTTGGAGCCCACACGGGCCTCACATTGGCTTTTCCTAGACAAATTGCACTTTGAAAGATTGACTGTAAAATCAGCCAGTGTGTGTGCGTGTGTGCATGTCCGTGCGTCGTGTGTGTGTGTGTGTGTGTGTGTGTGTGTGTGTGTGTAAGGAGAGAAAGAAGAGAGAATCAGCTCTAGAAGCTCTGTTCACTGTCAGAGGCCCCTAAGAGAAGGTGGGTGTCCGGAAGCGCCTGGAGGCCGGGCTCAGGGATCACTGCAGATCACATGTGCTTCCCTTCCCTCCTCAGTGTCTGGATGGGGTAAGTGGTGATGTCTGCTTGCAGGGGAGCCCTGTCCTGGCTTGAGAGGCTGGGTGCGGCCTGCTGGGCAGACTAGGTCCGGGTGGGCAAGTGAAGTACCTTGGAGAGTGTTCATTGTCCTACCCACTGGAGCTGAGAAGTTGTCTCCTCTGTGCTGGGCAGCTTTCCCTGACCCCTTTTGCTAGAATTTCTTCCTCATTCGGGTCTCTGCTGGGGCAGTGGCCACGTGCTATCTGGCTTGGTGTGCAGTGTGGAACCTCTGATGCTGAGATGTCCCTACCTCAGCGGTGGAGCCCTGTTGCCGGGCACTTGGTTGGGGCTCAGTAAATATCTGATGGATGGGACAGGAGTGAATCTCAGAGCACACACATGCTGTTTTGCTTTATTGAATTTTTATACCATACAGGTGCTACTGGAGGAATTTCTCGTTTTACAATTAGGAAAACTGAGGTATAGGGGAATTAACCTGCTTTCCAGGTACAGTGGACCCTTGACTTACGAACTCAATTTGTTCCTGAGTGCGGGTTGTAACTCAAGTTGGTCAACTGAAGGCTCAGCTCCTCTACACAGCCTTCAAAGTCTCTCTCCTGTATACAGGCAGATCTCAGTGTCCTTAGGGAGGTTTCTCAACTCCACACAGGAAAGGACATTGTAATGTTCCTTCCAGAACTCTTTAAGGGTTAAATCTATATCTGAGACCATCTGGAAGCACAAGCGGCCGGCATTTGGGTGGTAACTCAGGACTTTGGTCCTAAGTTAAAACCAAAATTCCAGTCATAACCCAGGTTGTCCAGATGTCAGGCTGATTGTAACTCGAGGGTCCACTGTACTGGTATAATTTCTGTTTTGTGCCCAACATTCTTTCCTGAAGCTGTTCTGTAAAAATAGAAGTAGGTATGCCACTTGCCTGAACATAAACAATGAAAAAAAATATTTTGCGACTGCCAGGTAGAGGATAGCGACTGCCCTGCCTCTATCTGATGGCCCCAGAGCTGTCCTGACCAGGCCACAGGTTCTGCAGGGCTGCTTTCCTCACCAGCCCCTCTGCCCTTGGCAGTGGGTGACATGGGGCCCTGCCTGCATCTTGGGTTTTGGGCGAAGGCAGCAAGCCCAGGGCCAGGTATAGTGTGCCCCATCTCACTCAGGGCTTGACTCTGAGTCCCCCTTCAGTGGCATGGATGATTTCCAGTAACTCAAGCAAGACCTTCCAAAAAGTGAGCAGACAACACTTCATATTTTTATTTAAAAAAATTAAAACCAAGAAAACGATTCTTCTATCTCTAATGGCTTCTTGGCAGTCCTTTTAGGAACCTAGTTCTGATTCCCAGGGTTGCCCCTTATCCCAGCCAGGAAGTGGGGATTCTGAGAATGCTTTTAGACCCCAATGCAAAACATTGACACTCACAGGTGATCACTGACTGGGGTCTTGATGTCCTGAGAGGAGCTGGCTGTGGGCTGGGGCTGGAGGTGCTCTGGGTACCTCGGAACTGTGACTTGGTCATTCCCTAAAGACAGGAACTTTGAGGAAGAAAATAGTGAAATCTGATTCAATTCTGTTTCATGTCAAGGTTGACAAAGTCGTGTCTGGGAATCCCTGGATGGCAAAGGGAAGCTACTTCAGCTGCCACTTAATATGGTACTTTCTCGGATTTGGTAGCTGGACAGACAGGCCAGCAGGGTGCCTAGTTAGGGGAGGCTCCGTGTGGCCAGGGCAGCTGCCCGCACAGAGTTGCGGGGGGGGGGGGAGTAGGGTACGTTCTCCGCAGAGCAGGGGTCTCCAGGGATGCATGCCAGGGGTACCTGCACCCCAGGTCTCCCTTCTCCTTGCAGCCGAAGGTGTGGAAATCTGCTCTGCCGCTCTCAGGGCTCCCAGAGTGTGCTCCTAACTGTGGGGCTGTCCAGGCTTCCAGGAGGAGCGGGGCACAGGCTTCGTCGGATCCCATCCACCGCCCCTCCACATCCCAAACCAGACTTCACCCCTGCGCCCAGCAGACGCTCCGGGAAGGAGAGACGGGGCCGTGTCATGCCATGAGCCAGTTTCTTTATTAATGTGACGTTTGTTCAGCTGGTGTGAGGACAGGTCTGTACATCAGAGTGTGTGGGGCGCGGGGTGCTGTCCCAGGGACAGAGCATGTGGGAGGGTCGAGAAATGGTTCGTTTTTCATAACAATTAAAAAATCAAGGTAATTTCAAAACTTCTAAAAAGCGTCTAATATGCAGACTGCAGCATTCTCTAGGCGTCGGGTGGAGACCCCAAAGTCCTCCTCTACACAGCTCCTACTAGCAGCGGGAGCGCAGCCATGTCCCCAGGGCCTGGGGCCGGCGGCCAAGCAGCCATGCCAGACGGAGCAGAAGGTGCCAAAGCAGGGCTGAGCCGCGGGGCCCGTGCGAGGCGATAAGAAGGGCCATGGGGCGGCCGCGGCCGGGGAGAGGAAGGTACAGGCTCTGCCTGTCGTCCGGCCTCGGCGGTCTCAGCCTGAGAGGCGCCTCAGCTCCCCGACGCTACGCCTGGGCCGGGCCTAGGAGCGTCCCGAGTCCGCGCGCTCGGGTCGTGTACTGCGCAGGAGGAGCCTTCGAGGATACAGCCGCTAAGACACGGCCTGCCGCGAGCCCTGGGGCCGAGCTGCAACTTCCTCTCCCCAGGGAGCCTTCCCCTACTTCCTCCCTCCCTCTAAACCGAAGCGGGCCCCTCCAGCGCCGGGAACGCCCCTTGCCGTGGAGGCGCCGCCCGGAGGCTCCTGGCTGGGCTCCAGCTGGGCCCCGGCGGAGTGCGCGTCTGTGCTACTTGGAAGGTTTGGGTGTGCCCCGAGTACCCCTCCGGAGAGCGGCCTTGGAAGAAGGTGCTGGGCGGCACCGCAGTGGCCTCGGAGCGCGAGAAGAGCCTGCCGGGTCTCTGTCCTGGCCTCGGGGCGCCCGCCAGCAGGGCCGGCCGCATTGTGCTGATTTGGCCTCCCTCTGCAGGAGGCGCCATGGGGCTTAAGGCTCTTCCCTGGTGGCACTGAGCGAGGCGGGCCCACAGGCTGGGAGGTCAGCCCGCACCGGCATGGCCAGCAGCTCGTCCTCCTCCCAGCTCCTCCGCTGGACCGGTGGCACCCACCGCCCAGCCCGCGGTTTGCCTGCACTTGAGCACCAAGTTGGCTCCGGGAGACCTCGGGGGTCCTGGCGGCTGGGAACTGACGGCTACCTTCACTAGCCCTATCCTCGTGCTCTTTCACTGAAAGACAGCCTGCCCCGCGGGCTGGAGAAATCCTGGGAGCTGAGCTGTTAGTGCTTCGCACATACTGCTAAGTGTTTCTAGTGGTTTGCATAGTATTTATTGTTTTTCATATACACAAGGCTGATTACTGTACAGTTTACACTCTGAACACGGACTATGATAGAAGTGTTTGAAGATACAGAAAACCTCTTCTCTATGGTCGTGCTGGTGCGGTCTCGGGCAGCCACTGGCTCTTCCCCCTCTGAGACCTTCGCATGGGGCCCTGGCCTCTCTGAGCCCTCAGCTAAGCCTGGGGTCCTCGCCTCTGATTTAAGTGCTTAACACAAGAGACCCCAAAGCAAGCTCAGGGTGCTAATTTTCCATTGGAAGATGATTAATACTGAAACTGAGAGAGAGTAAAAAAAATCCCAGTTTATCCACAGGGAAGTGTACACGGCTTCAGAGGCCACAGTGAAATCAGCGCATAGGCTGCTCACGGGACAGGTTCCATCCTGAATGTCTGTAGGGGCTGGGGCTGTCCCCTGGGGTGGAGGGGGTGGCACACTGCAATGGAGGTGAGTGTGGGCCTCCATGGCTGATGACAATGGGGATCAAGGTGCTAAACTGATTTCATGCCTAGCTTTTTCTTTCCAGGAAGCCCACATAGATTTCTTAGAGATGAAGTTGAAAAAAAGTACCCTGTACGAAGTCAAAACTCAAAACAATTAAAAAAAAAAACCCCAAACCATCCCCAGCCACAAAAGAGCCCTTTGCATTCATGCACTCTCTCTCTCTCTTGAGCTTACTCTCCCCTTCTCTCTCCTCTCCCCTCCTCTTGCAGCCTTCTGATTCCAACAGACAGATCTGGAGTCTCTAGGGCAGGATTTCGGACTGTAGGTCATGCAGAGTCTACAGCCAGTCGTTCATGCGGTAGGAGACTAAAGGAGTCCCTTACGGAGGTCATGCCAGGAGCCTAGAGGAACATGAACAGTACTCTGTCGCCTCCAGTCCAGCGCTCCTCCTGTGTGCATGGCAGAATGTGTGGAGTCAGGGGTTGGGTGTTGAGGTGTGATCCTGAGGGACACAAAGAAAGAGTCACTTAGGATTTAAAGGTGCAACTTGCAGCAAAAACCCTGAATGTGGTTTGGTGCTGGCTCAGGCAGGTCCCCAAGCAAGGGTACACTGAAGGGTGCCCTGCTGCAGACGCTGACCCTCCTGAACACTTGTCCTTCGTCCCTGCTCCCTGTGCAGAGGCCACTGCCCAGCACTGCCTGCCACTCAGGCCTCTGGGGAAACCTGAGTAGGATTAGGGAGAGGGCTGTGTGCTGCCCCCAAAGGAGAGGCAGAAGGCTTCTGGACCCTGCATGTAGGAAAGAGCCCTCCTTGAACCCAGACTGCATGGAGAAAGAGGCCAGGCTGGGCAGTGCGGCCTTCACACTCTCAGTCCAGTCTGGCCACCAAGTACTCAGGTCTTCTTTGCACCCGTTCTGGGGACCACACTGGAGCAGATGTGACTCTGGCTTCCAGAGTCAGGGCCCGGGAGGACAGCTTCTCTGGAAAGACGAGTGAATTCTCTCCAGAACATGGTGGATCCCAGGCTGGGATCCATAGCAAGGCTGTCTCTTATCCCCAGAAGCCCCATCCAAGCTGGTATGAAAACTCCATGTTTTCAAGACCAGCCTCTCAAGATTCTGTCTGCAGGGACCTAGGGAGGCGGGAAGAGGAGTTGACAGCTTCCTGGGCATGGTAGGAAGTGACAGAAAGGCAGCAAGGCATTCAGAGGCAGAGCTGTCCCCAGACGTGGATCTGTCTCCCACCAGGCTACGTGTGAGCAAGGAGAGTATGGCTAGATAGCTCCAGGGAGGGGCGGGCGCTCTCCCGGAAACCAGGCGCTTCTCCTGCTAGGCTCAAGGCTGCTACCCACTGTCCTCTCTGCTGCAGTCCTGCCTGTCCTTTAGGACATGTCCCTTCCTCTCAGCTGTCCCTGCCTGCCACCACCTTTTTGTTGAGTCCTCACAGTGTGTGATGGTCCAGAGCAGGGACTTTGAAGCCAGAAAGCCCAAGTTCAAATTCTGCTTCTGCCAATTACTTGCTGCCTGACCTTGGTCAAGTTGCTCACCTGCTCCAGGACTTGGTTTCCTCTGTTATGAAATGAGGGCAGTGCTAGAACCTCCCTCATTAGACCACTGTGATGTCTGGAAGACCTAACGGATCTGTGATGTGTTTAGGACTGCAGGCATTCTCGGCATGTGAACTGTTACTGGGCTCTCTGGAAATGCTACTGTTTTTGTTCTCTTTCCTTTTCAGCATCAGTATTATTTCCCTGGCTAGGCTCTGGGGCTAGGGAAATAAATAGATACTGCAGTGCCCACACCAGTGCTAGCCTCTTGAGTAGGAGACAGTATGAAGCCAGAGCCTTGGAAAGACCTATTTTTAAGTAGAGGAGAAAGTTTGAGTCTTAGACACTGTTGTGGTACAACTGCCCCTTTTGTCAGGGTAAATGGACTTAGGAGGAGCAGAAATAGGTTCAGCTGGAGCAAGCCAGCAGCACAGAGAGTGACCCACGCCCGCTCCTCCAGGCCTCCAGCTTGCTGCACAGCCTGGCCTGGGCCTGCTCTGAGAAAGGACTGACCCTTTCAAAACACAGAAAACCACCCCTTCCCCTCTGGGGTGCACCAGCCAGGATCTCTCCTGGTCTCTCTCTGTCCCCACCCTGCCCCATGCCCACACTGTCTCCCCTCTCCTCCAGCCCTCTACTCTGATGTCCTCTCGGGGGCCAGGTGTGAGGGTGGACACTAGCTCAAAACAGTGGGAGCACCTTGCTCCCCCCCATTGAGACTACTGCTCCGTTTCAAATTTATCAAAATATCCTATTGTCAGAGCTAATGCAAATCTTGCAGCCACACTGAAAGGAAAGTGTAAAGAAAGCAAAGAAAGACAGCGGCCTTTGCTGTCTGCAGCTTTCCAGAAGGTCCCTCAAGGCAGAGCTATGCACGATGAAGACTGCAGGGTGCTCATACCCAGTGACCTGCAGCGCCTCTGCCCCCACTCTGCTCCAGCGACACCCTCGCTGCAACACTGGCACAAAGCAGAACCTACGACCTCTGCTGTCTGCTCCAAACCACAGCACCTTGATTCGACAGCAGTCTCTGGCTTGTTAAATCTACCTTCCAGACAGTGCCCTCATCTGCCAGGCCTCAGTGTCAAAGCCTCCCCTAAGTGGGGAGGGACAGGGAGTCCATTTGGACCTTGCCAGGATGGCTTGTCCTGTCCCTACATGAACTGCAAGCCTTCGTTCATTCTAGTCCCCTTTGCAGATGAACCCTACAGCTGTGCCACCTGGCTTCCAGAAGATTTGGGAAGGAGAATCAAAACAGTCCTAATAACTCAATTCAGCATCCACAGAAAATGCCTGAGCAGATCAATGCTGAATCTTGCGTTCTAGAATTTTAACCCAGCGTGACTGGGGCAGAGACCAGAAATCCACACTGTTTTCTCTTTCTGGTGCTCCAGATGAAGCCCAGGGTCTCACCTACAAGCCGAGCCCTCTACCTCTGGGCTACACCCCACTCGGGAATCCATTTCAATAAGACTCTCCGATGACTGTTACAAAGGGATGTGGATGGCACTCCATGGAACTGACAGTTTGTAAAGCCCTTTCACAAACATCAACTTATCGATCCCTGTAGCCATCCTGCAAGGAAAGTATTGGCATTATTGCTACTTTGTGGATAAAGGACCTGAGGCCGGGAAGGTCGATTGATTTGCCCCGAGTGCCACTGAAGATAAAACCTGCCACTGATTGAGACTGGACCACGTATGCTCTTATTTCCTTTTTACAGCAGTTCTCAGTTACTCATAAACTTTTATTTTTCTGATGCTGGTGATTGAACCCAGGGCCTCATGTTCTAAGTATGTACTCTACCATCGAGCTACATCCCTGTAAGCTTTTTTCTTGTAGTGCATCACACATCGGGAAGGAACTGTTTCCTTCTTCCTTGAGGAATCTGACACTCCGGGATATCAGATGACTTATTTAAGATCACAGAACCTGGAAATAGAAGGAGCCAGGCCTTGAATCTTGACTCCCAAGTCCCCGATCTCTGAAACAAATACAGCTGGCTTTGTGATACACAGCAGTGCTCCCCAAAGTGTGTGTGAACACTGCATCAGTGAACACCGAGCCCTCTGCTCCTATGAGAAATGCAAGTCTAGGTTCCTGTGAGCCTCTGGTCACAGCATTTTTGTCACCCATGGATACATAACCCTTTTTATGTGCTTCTGTTTAAAGATGCTGTATTTAATACACAGGCTGCTTGAGTAACACTGCCCTCACCACCAGCAGCACCATAACACCCACCAGGAGCACACGTGTGCTCTCTGAAAGCCACGCTGCAGTCTCTTTTTACACTCAGAAACACTGGACAGCCCTTCCTCACAACTGAGGGGATTTTTTTAAATGGTGAGATCACCAAGAAAAGACATGGACACACACAAAGCACTGAACGAAGTAGACTACGACAGGACACGTGTTCAGTGTGAGGGCTGATGCAGCACAGGGCTGCCTTGGTCAGCCTCAGCTGGAAACATGCACGCTGGACGACATGAAGCTTTTGGTGCTGGGTGCATGTCTGTGAATGACACAAAAGTGTGGGGAGCACTAGCTTTGGGTTACAAATAAGCTTTAGCAAGTGGGCAAAGTTGCAAATGAGGATCAACTATACCTGCTTGCAAGCCGGTGGTAGGAAATAGAAAGACTCAGAGCCTGCAGCCAAGGGGCTGTTGTCTTCTCTGTAGCCTTTCTCTTGCTGGGAGGGTTCAGCATTTTAGGCCACTCCATAGATCCTTTAGGGCCCAGGAAGGAGCTAGGCAGTGCTGCCATGCCCCCTCAGCGCTGTCCCCAGCCACACGTGTCCTTTTGCCTTTTACTGGCAGAGGGCCCAGTGCTGTCCTGGGGCCAGCCCGTCCATGTTCCTGACACCTACACTCTTGCAGCCTGGTCCCTGGTTACTTGTGGGGCTTTCAACCTCTTTGCAGATCATCTACAGCAAATTAAAAATAAATTGGGAGTTCCCTCCTTTCCCCTAGCTTAGCTGCTGGGCTGCCTATCAGGGACATTGGTAGAACCACAGCTAAGCAGGAGCTCAAATTTAAAGCTGCAGCTACTACCAGAAAACCAGGCAGAAGAGTGCTTTTCCTTTCACTCTCCTTTTTACAATTATTTGCACCTCTGGGTTATTTCCAGGACCAGAATGCAGCTAATCACAGCCTTCTAAACAAGCAGTGGCAGCGGGGTCCCTGGCAGTGCTGGGGTTAACACTGTGACCTGCTTAAGCTGCTGAGGAGTCTGGTCTAATTTTATCCTCCAACTGGATCCACCAGTCCTCTGTTTTTGCTCAAGTGCTGCGATATGTTGGGAAGCACCAAGTCAGCACTTCTGGTGGCGCAGGAGGCAGGAGGTCCTGCTTTTTGCAGAATGCAGAAAGCCAGTGCCTCTTATGGCTCAGCCCCAGAGCCAGACCCCAGGACAGCACCAACTTGCTCTGTACTGTGCTGGGCCGCAGTGCATTCTTGTTCCGTGCTGACTCCCACCCCGATGCATCCTGTTCTGAGCTGCCCCGAGTGGGGCACAGTGAAGGGCCTCGGGGCAGCTCAGTACAGGATCCCTCAGGGAGGCTGGGATCAGAGCTGGCCATCCCCCAGCACTGCACTGCCTGCTAGAGACCCTTGCTGCACATCATGGACCCTTCCCCCGTCCCTCGGCCCCCCCGCTCACACTTGTCATGCACCAGCACCCAGCCCCAACCCCAGTGCTCCTGATGTTCCGAAGGAGCACCCGCCCCTGGGCCTGTCAACACAGACCCTTCCTAGAAAGCAAGAGGGACAGAACACCAGGGAACATGGAAGCCTGGGGCTGCTCAGCATTCAGCTGGGGTCAAGTTCAAAGGACAGCCCAGCTCCAAGCCTTGGAGCTCATCCTGAAATATCACAGCCCACATGGACTCTCCTATTCGCTTAGCACCCTGGCTGCCAACCTCTACAGCCACACTGCTTGGTTTCCATGACAACTCAGATTGTTGGAGTACTTTTCAGTCATCAAAGCATTGTTTGTTACAGAATTGCACAGGGTTGAGCGCTCAGCTCAGTGGCAGAGCACTTGCCTACCTTGCATGAGGCCCTGGCTCTATACCAGCACCACACAAACCCAACCATACCAAACTAAACCAAACTGAACCAAACCCAAATGCATTCACCTACTCCCAGAGGGATAGGCAGAGGAGACAGGCTCGCCTCTGTTTTCTGGACCAGAGTGCTGAGGGCCTAGGCAGGTGCTGGAGGGGGAGAGGGAGTTTGGGCCTCTGGCCACACCGTCGGGTTGGTCACCTGTGTCATGCTGGGGATGTGAGAGGCAAGCGCTCTGGGAGATGGGGACCAGGGCAGCCATGCCACTATCACCGAGGACTCATCCATGCAAGGAGGAGGAGAAGCCGCCTTTACCTCCCAAGAGGCCGTTCCAAGGAGAGAGGCTTGAGATCATTGTTTGCCCCGCTTCAGGCTGGCCCGCTTCACTATCTGAGCCCCCTTCCTGCCCTCTAGCAGGTCCGGCTGTAGGCTACTCCCTCTCAGCTCCACCTGGAGACAGCAGCAGGGACAGAAAGCAGGACAGACCACACAGACAGGTAAGAGAAAAATAGGGAAAAGAAGGAAAAGGGACAGCATGGAGCTAGCAGAACACTGTCCCCAAGCAGGAAGGTGACAGAAGAGACTAGGTGCAGACCGGGCTGGGTGGAGGCAAGGCCACAGGTGAGTGCTCTGGGTTCATTTGGAATAGTGGGCCTCCAGGGTCCACAGAGGCCTCAATACCTTGTCAAGTTTTGTAATGAAATCCGGGTCGGTTTCCAGCACACTAGTGTCCTTTTCCAGGGGGCCCCCAACAATCACCTCCTCATGTTCCTGGGTGTCATCAGCACCAGATGAGTCTATCTGCCGAACAACTTTGCGGATGGTCTACAAAAGAGAAGGAATGGGCAAGGGGATGGTCCAGCCGCCAAGGCAGAGAAGAGCAAGAGCATGTTCCCAGGAGCGAGAGAGGGAGGCACAGCCTCTTTCTGGGGGTCAGGAAAGGGCTTGGCTCTCGCTGCCCTCAGCTTGTGGGACCAGGTCAGGAGGCTGGACTCTGTGGAGGGTTCTCAGCACATTTCACTTCCTGACCAAGGTCTGATCATACATGACGTCAATCTGAAGCCCATAGCATTTCTCTCTGTCCTTGAGTCTGTACAGGTGCCATCACCCATGCCCAAAGGCAGGGGCATTTCCTTTAAATCCACAGAAATTCATTTACCCACCCAGTGCTCCTTCATTCACCCAAACACTCAAACACCCTTTACACCTGCCATGCGCTTAGAAGCAGGAGATGCAAACACAGACACAGCCCCTGCCCACACAGATGGGGAAAGAAGGACATGGGGGTCTAGCTCCTCCTCCATTGCAAGCCACCTCTATGGACACACATGCGAAGTCCCTCTGCTAATCCCACTGGCCCCAGTTAGCATGGGGTTGGCTGACCCTTGCCAGGCAAAATCCTGTCTGCCAAGTTCACACGACTTATGAGTTCAGGGTGGGCCCACGTCCTTCTTATCAGAGGCAGCCCTGGGAGGCTGGGGACAGGCACACTGTTCTCCCAGTAGTTATTTTCAGGGCCAGGCACCGTGGAACTAGGTTTGGGATGGTTCCTGGGGGCTGGTCCTCTGGAACGGTGGACAGGAACACTCAGGTTGGGTCAGATGAGCAGGCCATGAGGACCACCACGTCCCAACTGTGGAATGCCAGCGTTCTAGAACTTGCACCTTCCCTGCGGAGCCATGGAGGGGGAAGGACCACAGAGTTCCCACCTGTTAGGGCCACTGTGAGACTCTGCTTTGAGTTAAGTCCCACTACCTTTTAATGTCCAGCCCCTACCTGCCTGTCTCCAGCTCAGGGGACTCTCAGCACCTACCTTCTTGGTGACAAAGTTGCCCTGCTCATCTGTGAATTGTTCCTCTGTCACCTGCTCCCCTGGAATATTCTGAAGCTCATTCCCCTGATATTGGAGAAAGAGAAAAAAAAATCCAAGGTTGGTAAGTGGGAATAAGAGTGGAGGAGGAGGAAATAAAAGAGCAGTGTAGCAACAGCCTCATCCGAGGAAGCCCCCACCCCCTCCAGGCAGGAAACTGCAGCTCAGGGTTGTCATAGCTACGCAGGGGCTCCCAGAGTGTGGGCAGTGCTACGAGGCTGGAGACAGAATGGCTCCGGGTGCTCAGCAGCTGGAGACTTGACCCTTATAAGGCCCCAGCGAGCACAGCAGGGACCAGAGTGTGAGCTCCTGAGAGGCTGCAAGAGAGGAGGCACTAGGGCTGCGAGTTTACAACTTCACAGCTCAGAAGCCTCACTATAGACAGCTGTCTTGAGCATGACCTGCCCACCATCCCACAGCTGGTTGGTGACACAAACAGGACAGAAGCAGGGCTCCTGCATTCCACAGCCGAGCTTTCTCAGCCATCCTCTGTGTGGGCCCTGGGGTTCCATGCAGGCACTGTGCACAGCTCTGGAGCCTGGGGCCAAGTCTAACCCTTGAAGGCCCTCCTGATCATTCTTTTTCAACACAGCTCCTGGCTCCAGTGGCGCCCTTCCCTGCCCCAGTCCACACACGGGACGGCAGTGTCCCCTCGCCCTGACCTCTGGTGCCCCAGCCTGGCAGTTACCTTCAAGAAGACCCTTCGCCGGACCACCCTGGTGGAGATGGTCTCCTCGTCGTCACTCAGGCCCTCAACCTCCCCGAGCTCCTTGTCCAGCTCCTGGTGGATGTGCTTCAGCATGAAGCACAGGGAGCCCTTGACAATGTGCATCACATTCTGACAGCTGACCAGAAAAAAGCCCAGCAGCACCAGGGTGACCAGGAGCTGGGTGATGAAAGTCCACATCCTCACCTCCGCTCACCAGCCCAGCCCTCTGGGGACCAGCACAGCCAGGAGTGGGTCACTGTAAGGACCCCGCTCATTGTCCTGGAGCACTCCCGAGTTCCCCCACGGACCCTTCCATTCTGCCTGACTCTGTTTCTCTGACCTGCTCTCTGTTTCTCTCCCCAGCAGGAGACCCAAGGGGCTGTCTCCAGAGGCCCTCCCAGCTGAGCAGCCTGGCCCGAGTACTCCTCTTGCTGCACAGTCCCAGGCTCTGCCCTCACTCTCGGTGACATCAGGCGTCTATAATTTTAGTTCCCAAACCAGCTGCAGGGGCTGTCCAACTGGGCTAGAAGGACGCTGGCAGGTGCTATGTCCATGGCCTGGAGGCACATGTCAGAGTCACTGTGGAGTGGCAGGGGCCTGGCCCACTTGCCTTGCCAGCCAGCCTGCTCTGCCCTGTTCTGCCAAGCTCCTGAGCCAGGGACTCTAGAAAATAGGAATTCTGAGAATGTGGCTACTCCCGTGTCTCCTTAGTGTAGTGATCAGAATGACGTCCCTGTACAAGAGGGCGAGGACTGGCAAGTACTCTGGAGGCTGAAGGGTGTGCTGTAAAAATAGCCCTGAGGGTGAGTGGTTTTCCCAGGCCCAGCCTGAGGAACAGACTCAGCTGTCGAGCACCACCTGAGGCTGGCTGCCACTCCTCCCCCCACAGGCTCTCAGTCCCTTCCTTACAGGCACAGCCACTTCCCTGGGTCCAGTGTGCCTGTTTAGGGCCTGTCCTTAAAGGCTCTTCCCTCCTGGGCTGTGCTGCCCTCTGAGAAGGAACTGTGCACATTTCATTCGGGTCCACGGCCAGTTCACACCGGCAGCCCCAGCAGTGGCCGTGGTTGTTCTGGAGTGGCAGAAAGAACACAGACCTAGAACGAAGCAAATTGGCCCCACAACTCACTTTCCAAGGGGGCACCCCCCTGTGCCTCAGTTTCCCCACCTGTGAAAGGGCTATGAGGTGCTCTGCTCCACCTAACCCTTTTCGAGAGTACGTCTGAATACCACCTCTACATGTCACAGTGCAAACCCACCGAGCATGGCCCGCTCTTAGGCACTGTGTGTGTGGTCCCCACGGGAATGTGGTCAAACCCCACAGCCATCCTGCCACGTGCCTTCCCTCGTTTTCCTGTTTCCCATTGAAGAGTTCGGCAAAGAGGGTTGGAGCAACTCACCCAGTGGAAGAGGAAGTGAGTGAGTCAGATACAAACTCCTGCCATGCCCAGCACAGCCTTGTTCCTACCAGATGGGCCAGGAAGAGAAAAGCCCACAACACACTCAAAGGTGCCCATCATGGGAGAGGAGCCGGGGCTGAGAGGGTGGCTCAGTGGTAAGCACTTGCCTAGCGTGCACCAGGGCCTGGGGGTTCCATCCTCTATACCCCCAAAACAGCCAAAACAAAACAGCCCACCTTCAAATACTTCAGCCCGGGTGCCCAGTGGAATGACCTGGGTTATCACCCTTCCAGGCTCACCCCAGGGCTCCCATGGCCTGGCATCTCTCCACGTCTTTGTCACTGTTTTCAGAGAATCAGTGGAAACACTAACACGTGGAAGCTTTATGATAGCCTCTTTATCATCCTCGGTGTCCTGTTACATGACTCCTGACAACGGCCAATCCATCCATCCAGGTGTCCCCAGACCATGAGACCGCGGGGTCTGTTTCCAGGCATGGTGGCCCTATATACTCACTCTAGCCACAAGAATGTGGAGCTAGAAATCAAGGAGAAAGCCATCAGGCCTCAGATTCCCCATTTTATAATTCAGGGAGTTGGGCGGGCAATTGAGAAGCCCAATTCTGGGGTACCCTGGGCTGTCCTGCTTTCTGTCTCTGCTCACCAGTCATCCTCTCTCCAAGGGCTCCCTGCTGAGGGGCAGCAGGAAAAAACACTCCTGGCCTCTTCTCTTTCCCCCCAGGATTCAGAACAGACCTAGTTAGTGTCACCTGTGCTGTGGGGTGCAGGCCTGTTCCTTCGAGAGGCAGAACGGTGTACCAAGAGGAAGCTTAGGTGCACTGGGTGGCCTGTGGTTAAAAACGAACACAGTGCCTGTCTTGTCCAGGCACACATACTTGGCAGGAAAGCTTTCTAAATAAAACCCTACAGCATGCCTGACAGCGCTTTACAGCCAGCAGCTCAGAATCGCTGGCTGGAGAGCCAAGCTGGTCCTGAAGTCCTCAGAGTGCTGTGCCTGGGCTGAGGCTCAGAGAGGAAGGCAGGGAGATAAGGAAAGAAAGAAACAGGGGAAGGAGAGGTGAAGGAAATAGCTTCTGTATGAGGAAGGAGCACTGGGGAAGAAGAGAAAGGGACCAGCAAAGGCGAAGAACACACCGTTCTCAAAGTGTGTGTGCACAGATCGCAGTGCAGATGTGATAAGAACACCCATCAAACAGGCACGCGATAATGAGGCCTGGGCTTTGCTTCAGGGTACTGTTCGGGGAGGGAGGTCCAGAGGGGACCTGGGTGGTTGAGAGTGGGTAGCTGTGAGCCTGGGAATGAGGAGGTTGGCTTGCAGGAGTAAAGGAAACAGGGGAGGATGGGAGTCAAGGAGCAGCAGGGAGGGCAGGTGGGAGGACGGGGAGGGGAGAGGCCAGGGCAGCCTAGGAGGATGAAGGAGGCTGGGTCTGTCCCATCACTTCTTGCCCCTAAGCCAGACTTGCAGGTGGGCTGAGCTTGGTCATGTCTCCACCCTCCCTTGCTGCCAGCAGAGATGCAGAGTGCTGAGGGGCCAGAATCAGCCTGGTGCCCAGATCTCCCAGCTCTAAGCCCTTCCTGAAACTCAATGGACAAAAGGAGATGAAAACCACAGCTTTGGGATCACCCAGGATAACTCGGAGTCCCCACGAACCACTCTGATCACTACGGCCGCCTAGCTGCTGGGGGATGTGGGGACGGACGGTAGCAGAGGCTGTGCAAGCCTTGCCTTCCCTTGGTAGAGTCAAGGAGGCAGAAGGGACCAAGACCTCATAACCTTACTGATAGAAGTGAAGTCACTGCTGCAGTTTTGAAAGACAGGAAGCACGCTCATCTCCGGCCCTACTACATGGGCACTCCACACTAGACTGGAAAGTGGGCAGCGCCGCTCGGGGTCTCACCTGTTCCACCTGCAGGAAGGTGCTCCTGGCTGCCCGAATCCCCCCTTCCCTGCCAGCCTGGGAGCTCTGGGTCTCAGGCTGCGCTGTCCACATGTGCTCGCCTACAGACACCAGCACCGTGTCGTGCTCTGACCCTTGGATGGTGGACGTTGTCGTCTGGAATGAGTGTGGGCCTTGCGTGGCCTCCTCTGGCCAGGAGCCTCGTGCTGCATCTTGCAAGTAGAAGGCAATGGATCCTTCAAAATCCCAGTCTTGTGGTCTGAGTCCAGGACAGGGGACACGTGGCCAGGGAGACAGAAAGGGCACCTGGTCACTTCTGGCTCTGCTTTTCCAGACAGCCCCCCTTCCAGGGCCCTGGCTCATCTGGGACACAGCTTGTCCTGTCCTCTTTCCCAAAGGGTTGGGAAAGTGTGAGGAAATCACCTGGCCTGCGCCCCAGTGAGGAGACACATGGGGCCCATCTGTGCCATCCAGGTGGAGAGGGCCCTGGGCACCAGGCCACTGTCCCCTCCCTTCAAGGGACCTGCTCCCCTTGGGGGTCCCAGAGCACTTGACTCACAGCAACGGTTGAGTCACAGAGGTCTCCACACTCATTAGCAGACATCCTCAGGCGATGCCACCCACCACCCAGGTGCCTTAGGTGGCTCCCACTCAACAAGGTGACTGCTGTCCCCTCCACACATGCCCTTCCGAATACTGTGTCTACCGCCTTGCCTTGGGCACTTCTTCTCAGTGGCTTTTGCTGGTTCCTCCTAACTTCCTGGACTTCTGGACCCTGGAGCAGCTCTCAGATCTCCTTGCTATCTGCATCCAGTGCCTAAGTGACTTCCTTCCATCCATCTTTTAAACTGCACCTGGATATGCCTCAGGGCCGGATACATGCTTGTGTCTTGGCCTTGAATTTTAAATGTGTATGTCACCACCTCTTCCACATCTCTACCTTGGCTCTCTAATAGGACAGCATGACCAGGTCTGAGCGTATGACGGGGTCTCCTTGCCCACCTACCCACTCCTCACTGCAGTCATGAGTGAAGACAGGTGCCGACATCTTTACCCCTGCCCTGGTCAGGTGGACACCAGTGCCCTCCTTGTCTCCATGCTCTCTCACACTCTGCATTGTATTTGTCAGCAAATCTTTCTGGTTTCTGAGCTCAGCCCTTCCCACCTCCATTGCCTCTTGGTCTACACCAAGAGCAACTGTGGCTGGCTACTCAGCCCTGCCTCCACCTGGCCATGCAAGGCTCTTCCCAAAGCAGTTGCCAGATCATGTTGCTTCTCTGGCCAGAACCTGCCCAGGAAATGCCACACTCCTTTTGGGACCTCAAGCACTGACATATCTGACCCCCGGACTCCCTGGCCTCACCTCCCTGCTCACCTTTGCACTGTTCGGGATGGGCCAGGCATGCTCTCCTTCACCCATGTGCACTAGCTGGGCACCTCCCCCTCACCTCCTTGGGTCTCACTCAGTGTCGCTCCCTCAGGCCTGCCCTGCCACCACCTGTGAGTTCAGCCATGGCCCCACATCCCCATCTTCTATCTCTCTTCTCTGTTTTATGTTTTCTTTGAGCACTCGTCATTACCCAGGCCTCCCTTGATATCCAAGGGGACTGGCTTCAGGACCTGCATGGACACCAAAATCCATGGGTGTGCAAGTCCCTTACAGATGAGGTGTGATAGGAAATATGGCAAATGTTTGAATTTTAAAAATTTACTTCAGTAAAAGACACACTGCCATTCATCTCCCTCAAAGTACTCCCCTAGATTCAAACATGGTTGTCCCATCATTCTTGCTACTTTCTCTTATGGAAGTTCTGGAGTCCTCTTTTGTGAGTGTCTTTAGTTGCACTGTTTTGGCCACCTGGATGTCCTGTATTGATTCCAAATGTTTACTTTGCATGGTCATTTTAACCTGGAGAAAGAGCCAGAAGCCTCACTATGGCGGATCTGGGAATAAGGTGGGCGAGTGCACTGAGATGTTTGTAAGAGTCCATCTTTCTGTTGGGTGGTACTTGGCGGCAGCAACCACTGCATTTTTGGTCACACTAAGAGACACTCAGAAAAGAGGACTTCTGGAACTGCTTCAGAAAGTGGCCACAATGACAGGCTAAACGCGTTAAAGGAAAGGAGAGTATTTTGAGGGGGAGTAAGGGTGATGAGTCTTTTATTGTAATTCATTTTTAAAATGTAAACATTTCTGTGTATTTTGATCGCAATTTGTATAATGGTGTTGTATTTGCCTACAACCTGTGTACAACTCCTTTTATACTTTGGACAATGCTTAGATGATTTATAATAACAGACATAATGTACATGCTATGTAAATAGTTGCAATACTGTTTTGTTTCAGAGTAAACAGGAAAAAAGTCTGTACATGTTTGGCACAGATACAATTCATTACCTAATACAGAATTTTGATCCATGGCTGGTTAAATCTGTAGATGTGGAACCCATGGATACGAAGGTCAACTGTGCTTCAGATTTTATTTCTTTTTATATCATGAAGCTTATCTAGAACATGAGCTTCTTTCAGGCAGAGACTTTTGTCTGATTTTCCCACTGACATCTTCTAGCAGCTAGGCATTTTTTTGGAGGTGCCTGACACATAGTAGCTGCTCAATGAATATTGTTTAGTGATAGAAATTTACCTGTCCACACTGATTGTCTGACCAAGCTCATGGAGCCAGGAAGTGAAACAACTATGCCTAGAATTCAGGCCTTCTTGCTCCCTGTCAGTGACCCTGTGGTTTTTAAGGCTGTAGTGGCTGCACACAACAAGCATTTGCTAAATTTGTGTTGGAGGAAGGGCTGGGCTGACACAGTCACAGAGTGTGGCACCTACAGGCGTACCAGCGTTCCACTTGGAGCCTTCGAAGCCTTGCCTGTCCAACTGATCAAAGGATACAAACAAATCTCATCTTTCTTTTTGTTTTTGATTTTGGTGGTGTGGGGGATTGAATCCAGGGCCTTTGCACTGAGCTACCTCCTTGGCTTTTAAAATTTTGAGACAGGAGTTCACTAAGTTGCCTAGTCTAGGCTTGAACTTATGATCCTCCTGTCTCAGGCTCGAAGAGTGCTGGGATTACAGGTATGTGCCAGCATGCCCGGCTCAGATCCCATCTTTTGAATGACTTATCCCACCGTGGTCCACACTGAATAGACCCTGGGGAAGGCCTGGGCCTGAGGAGCATCAAGAATAGGAAGAGGAAATGAGAATAGTTGCACCTGACCTAATCCATGCTGAGCTCTGTGCATGGTTACAGTCCTCTGAGAGCACATGAACCATATCCTCCCTTTAGGGAAAGCCTATGAAGCAAAGCAATATGGAGGAAGGGCCTCTGCCCTTCACTTCTTGTGCCAGCCTGGGGAGGCTTAAGTGATGCCTGTCTTATCTTTCTTTGCCACTGCAAGGGGCCATCTCACCTCTAGGCCTTTGTCTGCACTCAGTACAGTGCTCAGGACCTGGTGGGGCCACTATCAGGCCAGGGAGAGCTCACAGCGCACCTGAGCCCTGGCCTGCAAGCCCAGGTCTGCAGGGGGCACTAGGCCTCCCTCCTGGACTGCCAACTCTGCTTCCCACCAGGCACAGTGCCTGCTTTTACAGCCAGGCATCTGGAAAAGAGGACAACACAGCTTAACTAACAAAAGCTCAGACAAACTCACCAGCCTCTCTCTCTCAGAAGTGATAAGGAGAAAAAGCACACAGAGGAGCCCACAACAGTGCTCTAGCTGTGCCACTGAGCCGTGGTCTCTTTGTCCCCACGCCACTCAGCATCTCTCCTGCTGGCCATACCCAGGGAGCTGGCTTTGCAGACCATAGTTCCATTCTTATGCATGCATAGTGGCTTTGGTGGCAAGCTGGTGCCACATACTTTGAACACAGCAGCCTCTCAGCATCTCCTCTGCACTCACAGCAGGACACTTTTACCCAGGAGCCCAGGAAGACATGAAGGAGCTCTGCCACCGCAGACCAGCCCTTACCTGTCCTGGTTCCTCTCCAGCACCCGACTCATGGAGGGCGAGTCTGTGGTTCGAACTTGCACCCTCTGCTGGCCTGCAACAAGAGACACTTCATTCTCTGAGTCCTGCCCTGCACCTGCCGAATCCTCCTGCCTCTTCTCTTCTGACCTCTGACCTTCCTCCTGGCCAAGCAAATCAGCATGGCCATTTGTGGCATCTGAATCCACTGTGTCGTCCTCCACAAGGTCCAGAGAGCCGAGCTCAGGGCCCCGCGATTCCTCTGAGAGTGCCCCCTCCAACTTCCACTCTTGTGTGGCGTCAGAGTCCTCGGCCTTGCTGCACTCCAGAGAGGAGTCCTCAGCAGTGACCAGGGAGGGTGTGAGGCCCGAGGACCACACCTGCATGTCAGACATCTCCAGCATGGCGTCATGCTCCGTGGCGGCCAGGGGGATGGCGTCTATGACGGCCACCTCGTTCCAGTACTGGTCCGCGTGCAGCGGAGAGGGAAGCGTGTAGTGCAGGGAGGCAGGGGACAGCAGCTCGTCCTGCAGCGAGGAGTAACCTGGATGGGCAGACAGAGGGCAACATGCTCCAGAAGCGATTTTTGTCACACATGCTCATGTGCAAATCCACGCGCACACACACACAGGCACGGCCACAGAAATGCATGCACATTCGGGCAGAGGCTTTCCAAGCTCCAAGTCCAATACTCAGGCCTTGTGGCTATTGCCCAGGACACCGGGGCAAGAGAAACAAGGCTCTGAGCTGGGTAGGGGGCAGCCAGGGTGTGAGGGCAGAGAGGTGGGGGCGCCTTCACTGGATGGCAAAGAAAAGAAATTAGAATTCTTTCTTCTCCAGCTCAGAGCACCAGATAAAGAAGGCTTTATCCAAAGGACTTGTACTCTGATCTGTCTGATCAGATGAAAGCCCCACTTCTCCATGACTGGGCAGGAGGAGGAACTGTTGCTCTTTCTTTGCTCAAAACTTCACTTTAGCACACTGTTTAGGGTCCTGTTAGGAATGTACCTTGATGGGAGAGTACAGCGCCCACCCAGGATCAGGGTCAGTAACCAGGCTGCCCTGGAGGAGTCTAATGGGGTACACTGAACAGCCACAGACCTCAGTGCGGTGGTCAAATGGGAAACAGGCTTCTGGTTTGGCAGGAAGTGACTTTTCCTCAAGTTGCATATTGGTTCCAGAAACTCTGAATGATCTACAGTGGCACAGGTGAGGGTTCTAGGGTTCAAAAATGGGGGCAAGGTCAGAGGGCACCGCAAGCCCAGGAACACCTGCCCACAGTCCTCATCTGCAGGCCCTGAGCTCTGCAGCCCCACTCTGGCCCAGCAGTGACTCGCTGGGACCAGGCCCATGGGCGTAGTGGCCAGTCCGCACACTTGTGCCCCGTGGACTGGCTCGGATGTGCAACCCTGCCCGTGTGATTGCTGTGGTACCGGCTCCCTGGTATTCTTAGTGACTGTGGATTGGAGGGATGTGAGTGCGTTGTGGATGCCAGTGCCCCAGCAGGGCTCCTTGGCTCCTGTTCAGAGCAGGGACCGATTGGTGGTTGGGAGAACAGACTACCAGACGAGGGTCTCCCTTTGGCACAGCTTGTCCGGGGAGCAGATACATGCCTCCCAAAGGTGGTCACTAGAATGGGCCAAGGTGCCCTGCAGAGTCTCTAGGGACCTTCCTTTTGGCTAAAGAGGCCCTTAGTCTGTTGTCAAACTCTTCAACCTGTCAGTCGCCTCCACCCATGGCACGGAGGCCTCCTCTGTCCCCTAGCTCATTCCCTTGCTTTCAGCTCTGGGCCTCAGAAGCACCTGCTCACCCCTCACCCTCACTTCCAAGAACACCATCTCCGTTTAGCCTTAGTCATCTACTTCTCACCCAGAAAACATTCACTGATGCCCAATTCCATGCCAGGCACTGTGCTGAGAGGTTGGGGATTGCAAACACCAACACAGTACATACACAGATATGTATCTCCTTTTCTTTTTTATGATGTTTTCCTGTTGACTATAGCTCGTTGTCCCCCACCACATTTGACCTACACCCTTCACTGAGCTGGTTCACTGGGAACCCACTGTCCTTGGTGACTACCACAGAGCTCTCAGGATTTGTGTGGGGACCCAGCAGGCAGGACAGATGACTCCACTCATAAGGGGGCCACCAGAGCTGACAGCCACTGGTGTGCCTAACGTGCCAGGAGCTAACTATGTACCCCACAGGCCTTCTCTCTCCAACCTTCCCGGCAGAGTGTTCTTCCTGACTGGCTACCAGCCTCCGGGTCTCCAGGCCCCAAGTCAGATGGCCTAACTTATTTGTAATGGCCCCCAACTGGCAGCCACTAAAATGCTCCTCAGCAGGGAAACATACACGCTCTCTGGTACATCCCTCAGTAGGACGTGGCTCAGGACAAATATGAACCACTCATGCACGCAACAGCATGGATGAAGCCCAAATAATCATGTGGAGATAAAGGAGCCAGACAAAAAAGGAGCACAGATTCTGATTCCATTTATGTCAAATTCTGGGGTTGTGGCTAGGGGTCAGCTGTGCAGTGGTAGAGGCTAAAGGAAGCCCCTTCCAGTTCTGCCCAGAGTAGGAGGAGTGAGGAGGAGATAGGAGAAAGGGCTGGGTCAAATCGGACAAGACTTACTCCAAGTCACCATGTGTGAGGCTGTAACCCAAGAAACCAGGAAACCAGGGTAACAGCACCTCCCAGCTTTCTCTAGAACTCTCTCCAGACACAGACTAGCAGAATGTTGGAGTCCTATGCCATTGTTCTTATTATTCTTGCAAGCATTATTATCCTATCTCCATTGTTTATTGAGCATCCATTTAGTGCAAAATATAGCCAACACGTTGTTTTTAATTGTCACAACACTTCTTTGAGGGAAGTAACATTATTCCTTCTTTTCAGATTAGAAACTAAAAGTTTAGCAACTTAAGGTTACACAGCAAGTGTAAAAATGTTACACAAAAGTGTCTTTTTTACAAGAGGTGGCCATTAATCTGTTTTTAAAATAGTGTTACTGAGGTATTACAAGTGCACATATTTAAAGTGGATAATTTGGTAAGTCCTAAAACATGCGACCCACAAAGCTGTCACCACAATGAAGAGAGGACATCCATCAGCCCAAACGCCTTCCTCATGCTTCTCTGGAATCTTGCTCTCCCTCCAGCACTCACCCCTCATCATTCCTGCCCAGGCAGCCACCAGCCTGCTCTGGCCACTGCTTACTAGTCTGCAGCTCTATGCAGTGGCAGCATGTTGGCCGGTGAGGTTCATCGGGCATGATTACCACTAACTGGAAAGTACTTACATGTAATCTAAGATCTATCTTGAGTTAATTTTTACATATAGTGCAAGGAATGAGCCCAAATTCATTTTAGTTTAGATTTTTTGCACAAATATTCATGAGGGATATTGGTATGTAGTTTCTTTTCCCTATGATGTCTTTTTTTAATATTAGGGTAATGCTTGGTCTCATATAGTTAGTTGGTAAGTGTTACCTCGTTTTCAAATTTCTAAGTGAATTCTTTCTTCATTAAATATTTGGTAGAATTCACTAGTAAAGAAGCCATATGGGCTTGGACTTTTATTCATGGGAATGCTTTAAACTATACATCTAATTTTTAATTTTTATGAGGCTATTCAGTTAATCTATTTATCCCTAACTAAGTTTTGATAGTTTGTGTCTTTCAAAAAACTTATTAATTTCATGTATGTTCTCAAATTTATCGACATAAAATTGTCATAATATTCCTTTATCAACCTACCCATGGAATCTGTAGTGATGTCACATTCTCTTGTATTCTTGACATGGATCATTTTTGTCTTCTCTTTTTCTGATCAGTCTGGCTGTGGGTGTATCAATTCTAACAATCATTTCAAAACCTTAGCTTTTGTTCTCATTCTCCAGGGTTTTTCTTTCTATTTTATTGACTTCAACTCTGTTTTTCATTATTTCTTTTCTTCTATTTATTTTCAGCTTAATTTGCTCTGTCACCGATTTTTTTAAGGTGGAAGATGAGATCATTAGTTGGAGAACTTTCTTCTTTTCTAATATAGGCATTTTGTGCTTTGAATTTCTTCCTATTATTTTATAGTATCCCATACATTTTGATATATTATTTTTAATTTCACTCAGTTCAAAATATTTTTGCCTTCATGTTGATGTTGTTCTTTTCTTAATTAAAAAAAAATTTGCAGTTGTTGGGGATGGAGCTGAGGGTGTCACACATGGCTAGGTGAGTACTCTTGCCACTGAGCCACATCCTTAGCCCTGTTCTTTTCTTTGTTAAAGATGTGGTTTACTTTAAATCCATTGCCTTCTTGCTTGTATTGCTTCCAGTAAGACATCTGCTGCCATCCTTATTTTCATTCCCTTGCACAGAACACGTTTTTTTCTCTGCTGTTTTCCAGGTTGTCTCTTTATCCCTGGTTTTGGCTGGTTGGCTCAGAAAGCACTTTAGTGTAGCTACTAACACACGGTGCATGGCATTCATGGTATTTGTTTTATCGATGTATTTATGACTTTCATGGTGGAAAACTTTCATCCTTTATTTCTTCAAATACTTTTCCTTTCTTCTTCTTTGTTGGGAACTATAATTTTATATATATTTGGCCTCCTGAAATTGCACTGTATCTCATTGATACTTTTTAATTTTTTCTTTTATTTTGATATTTCCTTTTGAAGAGTTTCAATTGCTATGTTGTAAAGTTCACCGTTTTTTTCTGCTACAATATCTAATCTCATCCACTAGATTTTTCATCCTACACATTATGATTTCATCTCTAGAAGATCAGTTTAGGTCTTTTAAAAAATATTTTCCATGTCTCTACTTAACTTTTTGAACATGTGAAGTACTGGGTTTACCACCCTTGTGTGCTCATTCTAACATTTGAGTCAGTCCTGGGTTACTTTTAATTGATTGCTTTTTCTCCCCTGTCTGACTGTTAGAATTATCTGGTTAATATTCACCTGAAACTTTCATAGATCTCCAGAGCTCTTTGTCTGTGCTGCTATCTCCTTTCCGGCCCTCTGTCTTGGGAAGTCTAGCTGTCTTATCCTTCTTGGACTCTCAGCAACTTCTCAACAATTTGCCTGGGTTTCCCTAGGAACTCTGTGAAGACAAAAATCTAGGCAATCAGAAGACTCACCTCATTTATTTTCCATGCCTCATGGCCTACTGTCCTTTGCTGCCTGATATTCAATGTCTTGGAAGCTCTAGTTCATTTGTTCATTCTTTAGTTTCTCCACGCAGGAGGGAATATCCAGTCCCTACTACCCCATCTTGGCCAGAAGTAGCATTTTTTATAAATAGCCACCCAGACATGGCAAATGACCATTCTGTCACTCCTGGGACACCTGGCAAGGCTTGAGGAGAACTGTGAGTACATGGTCTTCTTGGTTATCTTTTGCAGTTTTCCACTTTGAGCCTTCTGCCAGGATCCCTACTGTGACCACTCCATAGCCTTCTCCTGGTAACAGCCTTTAGGGTATATGCCTGGCTGCTCCTTCTGTCTCTAGAGGATGTCAGCTGCTCGCTGAGACTTAAGACTGGAGGCGCTCGGCAGTTACAGTCCTGGTGCTGGTGGACATTATGTTGGGTTGGAGGATGCTCACTGCAGCTCAAGGCATTCTCATGAGGAACATCTCTCATGGTCTGGAGTGGGCCAGACTACAATGAGATCTACTGAGCACCTAAGCTGAGCTGTAGAAATGTCTGTCTCTTCACCTTGAGTGTGGCCAATTGTGCCGAATCTAGGAAGCTAAGCTGTATAAGGCCTGGTTAGTACTTGGATAGGAGAAATGTCTATCTCTAGGACTCTTATCCAGCCTTGTCACACTTGGGTCACCAGCCCATCTCTGAGTAGAGAGGTCTCTCATTTGGGGTTAGATGCTGAGGAAATCAGGTAAAAGGCTACGGGCAGAATATTGTCAGGGCATCCCTCCTTATCTTACCAGATATAATAAGTATCCTATTAGCTTAATACTAGTAGCAAACAGAAGGGGTGAACAGGTAGTCAGGCCTCAGAAAGGAGCCATACTTTTCTAGCTATACCCATTAAGAGTGGATGTAAGTAAAGTACATTTTGTTCCCAAGTAGACACTATTACAATTCATTAGACAAAACGGAGATGGCAAGGGTTCAAGATAACCATTTTTTCCTTTCATACGAGAAATTTGTTTCATTTTTAGGACATTCTATTTTTTTGCCTAATAAGCAATTTTTTCTTGATGTCTCTTCCACGGGCCTGGAGTAGTCCTCTCTCACCAGAAGAAGCTGACTGGCTTTTTGACTCAATCCCCTTTGCAGGAATGCATGGTAGAAGAACGCCGAGGGGAGGGAAGAGCCCAACCTCCTGATACCACCTGGTTCCTTAGACTCTCAGAACACAAGCAACTAATTCCTTCAGAAGGAGGCCTAGACTAGCAGAGAAACGAGGTGCAGTGTGAAAGAGCCAGGTGACAGTGGTGCTGGCCATAAATGCACAGAGCTGGCTGTCACCAGGACAAGCTGTCACAGGATCCTGCCCAGGACAGAGCCAGTGACAGCGCTAGAGGTTGGCGTACCCCTGCCCTGAACTTTGAGCCTTCTTTTACCCTTCCTTCTGGACCAGAAGGGAAGCTGGATGTGGGACAGTCTTCTCAGGACAGGGATGAGGGTAGAGAAAGATATAGAAGCTGATTTTGGTGTCTAGAAAGTGGAAGGGGCTGAGCTGGGCATCTCTTCACGAATGTCTGCTCAGGCCGCAGAGAGGTGTGTGAGGGCAGCAACCCCAAGCCAGTAGGAGACCTTCTGGGCAGGGCTTCCAGGGGTGATAGCCACATAGGAGAGCTAGGAAGGACAGACACACTCAGTGAGTGGCCTCTCAAACCAACCTTGCAGGGAGAGGAACCCTTCAGAAACCTAGATCATATCATTCTTTCACCCAATACCCAGTGGACAAAAATCACTGTCCTTGTGACAGGCTATAGGGCTGGCCTCTGGGTGCCTTCAGCCTTCACCTCTTGGCTCCCTCTGCCCCTTGCTGTTCTGCAAGGAAGCAGGCATGGTGCCTTGATGCTCACCTGGAACACTCTTTGTCCATGGTGCACTCCTTCATCTCCTTCACATCTTTGTTCAAATGCAACCACCCCACCATACTCTGTAAGCCCCAGCCCTGGAATTTCCCAACACCATCATGGTGACCTGCCAGCCCATTATATGATTCCCTTACATGATTCCCTCACACACTGTCTATGCCATTTCCTGGCTCTCCTGACAGAAGGGGGAATGAGGTCCTTGAGAGCTCATTTCTCTCCCTGCCTAGAACAGTGCCTGGCATGTGGTTGATGCCTGGAAAATATTTGCCACATAAGCTGAGCCACGGTGGCAGAGCCCTTTCCACCAGGCATGGAGCACACAGAGACCCAGGCCCCTGGGTGGGGGGCGGTGTGCCTCCCAGACCTGACTGGGGACGAGTAGTGTGTCCTGTGGAGACTGTCTCTGTTCAGATTCTAATGGCCTGTTATTTCTGCAGGCACCTAATCAAGGCACAAATATCCAAAAGCCCATGGATTAGACTTGATTGAAATAGCACTGAGGAAGCCCATGTGCCACAGACAGGGACAGGAATTTTGTCACATGGGTGTCCTGAAGTTTGTAGAATTTCTCAGCTACTTGATCTTTTCTCTCTGGGGAAGGGAGCTAGCCTACTTGGGGTGCCTGCGGTGTGGTAATCAGGTCCCCCAGAGAAGTGGCTGCAGTCCTGGCATGGGAGCCCTTTCCAGTGCACCTGGAGAGTGAACGAGCACACAGTCAGCAGTCATGACGAGGCGACACAGACAAACGCCGGGCACACTCTCGCACACACACAGATGCCCATGGAGACAGCCAGGAGGTGCATGGGGGCCGGGGTCCTTCGTGACATGCATCTGTAGAGGTGGACAGCTCTGGTACACCAGGCTGGTGGAGACAGTGGAGACAGGAAGTGAAAGAGAATGGGTGAACAAGAGGTCAGGATGAGGTCAGAGGCAGAAGAGAGGCCACAGGACGCTATCAGCAGAGGATGAGCCCAGTACCGGGGGCACTGGATGGCACGTTCAGGACACACAGGACACAGAGAGAACAGGGAGGGAGGCCCTGTGCCTGGACACCCGCCACCCTGGCTGGCAGCACCTAGAGCTGAGCCATGTGGGTGCGTGCACGTGGCCAGAAAGGCCCTACACCGAGGTGTGGGGAACATTGGCCACCAGGCAGCTGTCCAGGGCGCCACTTCAGAGTTAGTGTTCTTCAAGTTCTGTAAGGGATCTTGGGGATCTGATTTTGAAGGCAATGGCTCAGCCACACAGGAGGCTGGCAGAAAGAAGGTCCTGGAAGCCAGACCAGAGGAACCATGTGCAGGGCCAAGGTGAAGTGGGGCTGGCTCTGTGCCCCTGGCTACAGAGGGTGACACAGGGGAGGGCATGGGAGCCCCAGGCTCTGCTCCTCCACCGCGGTGCTGCTGAGAGGCTGAGGCAGGGACACTAGTTGGGCCGCTGGTATTTCATCTCCTTGGGGCAGTCACACTGAGGCTCCCTGCCATGCTGAGCCACAGCAGAAAAAGTATGGAGGACAGATGGATGAAAAAGGGGGGCAGGGGGGGCGGGGGGAGGGAGGGAGGGAGAGAGAGAGAGAGACTCTACTCAAAGGAAACCGCTTAGCCTCTAAAAGGGGCCACAGTGGGACTTCTTTAAACACCACCAGCTAATCCACATGAAATGCTGGACATTGTTCCTGACCATGGAATGTTCTATATGCAGAGACATCCACGCCCAGGGAGGGTCCATGTCTTGTGAAAAGTGACACGAAACATCTGCAGACTGCAGGGACAAGGGTCTGCCTAGTGGCTTCCCAGACTCCACCTCTTTCCCACCACACCAGGTCCCCTGGGACCCAGGTGCAGTGATGACAGGCTGGGGGCCACTCTGCACCGGTGATACCCACACAGGTGTGTCATACCTGTCTCTCTCCCCAGCCTCTGCCCTTGCTGGGAGGAGGAGCTCACCACAGGCCAACCCAGCCTCCCACCCCCTGAGACAGAGAGGGTCTCAGGGACAGAGCACTGTGGAAAGGGGTCTGGGGCTGGCAGCGGGCAGGGGCCCCCTCCCCAGCCTCACCTCTGCCCAGGGACACTCACCATTCATCTGGGAGGGGGACAGTGAGTAGTCCTGGTCTGCCTGTCGCCGGTCCGGCTTCAGGTTGCGGCTCTGTCTGCCAGAGCCCTCCAGCATATTCACGATCTCACTGCGGTCAATGTTCCGAAGGGCTGCATACAGGTTTTCCACTGTTGGCGGGGAAGGGAAAGGTGCTTGAGGGGTGGAGTGAGTGATTCTAGAGCCCCAGGGAATACTGTGAAAGCCTGAAAATTAGGCCAGGAGCAGGAAGGTAACCCAGGTTTGCAGAAGATGGAGCCACCCTTCTGTCAAAATCAAATTCAGATGGAGAATTTTTTCCTATCTACAGCAGATCTTTTCCACAAAATAACAGTGTCTTTTTTGTTTTGTTGTTGGTCTTTTTTTGGTGGTGCTGGGATGAAACCCAGGCCTTGCACACGCAAGAATTCTACAATGAGCTACATCCCCAGCCCCTCAGTGACCAACTCAAAAGCACAGAAATGCTGGTAGGTTTTTGTTTGTTTATAATGCAAGAAGAATACTGCAAGAAAAAGCAGATGAGAATGGACGCTGTTCTTTTGAAATTCTGGGTCCTTGCCGGTTGAATTTCGATGTGAATGTGAACACTCAGCTTCTTCTTGTATTGCTGAGGACTGGAATCTGGTGAGGCTCTGGAAAGCGCCAGACCAACCTTCCTCCAGGTGGGGAAAGTGCCCTTGGGACAATGGGAGCCTCTCAGGCTGGGGTATGGCCCTGAGATCCCAATGCTTGTGTGGCTGGGAAATCCGATAGGAAGAGCTGGAAGATGAGAGTCCTAATCCTATCTATACACTGCCCTGCAGGGCCTGGACAATTTCTTCCTTATTCCAAGGAGGGAGAAAGAATGAGGTCAAGATTCACTGGTCATGGGAATGTGTTCTGGGGGGACTGCTTTGAAGGCCGCTGACAATGAGAAGTGCCTGCGTGTGTGTGTGTGTGTGTGTGTGTGTGTGTGTGTGTGTGTGTGTGTGAGAGAGAGAGAGAGAGAGAGAGAGAGAGAGAGAGATACTCCCAAGGCCAACACCACAGATAGGATGTGATGGAAGAACTGCTCTGGCATCACTCGGGTCCTAGCCGGCCTGGAAAGGGGCTTTCTCAGCTGGAAGGTACTGACTCTTTGCATTTTCGCCTTCCTGGGCAGCCCACAGGTTCAGCAAGGCTGCGCTCTGCTCCCACAAGGAGTTGGGGTTTTCCACGCGGATCCTGTTGATTTCCTCCACACTGAACTGCAGCTCCCGGGCCAATTCTGCAAGCAAAGAACCGACAGCATAGTAAGTGTGTGGGTCAGAACAGCCTCCCCTTTGACTGGCAGCTTTCCTCTCCACAAAGGTCCTGGTGGCAGTGGGTGTATATGCCTTTGTGCCCCTCAGAACCCAACAGGGAAGGGCTCGGGAAATAGGCAGCAAAGAACGAGTGAACCAACAGCTGGACAGATGTCCTTTCCCTTTCTCTTGACTTCTAACCTGGGCAGAGAATAAGCCCCTCAACAAGGCCAGCAACCTCTCCAAGGTCAGAGTAAGTTAGTCCTTGAGCTGGGAAGGGGCTGAGGCTGCTGGTCCCTAGGCAGCACTGCCCTCCTTCAGGTACCCATGGGGACAAGCCACCAGGAGAGGGTGGGCTGGCATTTACAAGAAAATTCAAGTATCTTCTAAACGTAAGGCAGGAGTACAGGCAGTCGCTCCCTCACTAATGGGATTTAGAAGGAAGAGAGCCTCACAGTGATTTCAAGGAAAGAAAGCCTGAAGAAAAAGAGTCTGAGTCAGGACATGCATGTACAACACACACAAACATGTATACCACACACATATGCACACATGCACACAGACATTCAGGAACATACACCTGCCTCCCATGAACACATACATGTACACAGTGATGCACATACAACACAGTGCACACACATGCACAGCTGTGTACATGCACACGCCTCAAGAAGCAGGAGAATGGTTTAAAGCACAAACAGTCCCTGAGTTTCTGAGTCCCCATGGCAAGGCCCTTAGGCAAGTTTCTGCTAAGGTTTCTGAGTTTGCCTAAAGTGTGGTGCAGAGTGTGTGAGTGAGAGCAGGGAGTCCATTCGTATGAAAGCTAGCAAACAAACATAGACAGCAAAGGAGAGCGTGAAGCTATAGAGCCCACGCCTGCAATGAACCCATGAGCTCCTTCAGGTCAGATGTGCCCCCCAGTGCAGAAACGAACCGCGCTAGCAGGGAGCTGCTTTTCCCTCCAGGGCTGCCCTCCACAACAGGCAGTGCCCCGAGTGGGCAGGCAGTGTGCAGGGGTCAGGAGGCACAGCTTTGTTGAACTGTTTGGTCTTCTGGGTTCTGTCACGAGCTGGCTAAACAATCAAGTCACTCTACTGAGCTGCATCCTAGTTTTCCATCTGTAAAACAAGCTCACTCCAGCTCAGAGGCTTCCAGTAATATGTAGTTGATTGTTTCTTCCAAAGGAAGCCAGAGAGATGGAGAAGGGGAGCATGCTGCTTTCCCTGGCACTTGGAAGTGAGGCTTTGCAAACAACTTGCCCCAGATAATCACAAACCAGACACACAGTGGACAATTGAGAGAAACGCTATGCCCACTGCTTCTCATGGGGAAGAGATGTGAGGTCAGTGGGACTAGGGCCTTTCTGCCCCCCCACAACTCACCTGCCCAGCTGAGGCCAAGGTGCTCTGTTATGACTGCCACCTTTAGGTCAGCTCGGTCTGTGCCGCTGGGGAAACCTGAGGGGTGGAGATCACACTGAGCAGTCCAGCGGACACAGGTCTGCCCGGTGTGGGTGAGTGCTCAGGTCATACTGGGTGGCATTGACTCTGGAGGGGCAGTGGAGACACGGGCACCACCCAGCCTTGTCAAGGGAAGCATGCTATCACCACAGGGGTCCTACCGAGTGCTGACTCACTGAGCCCGCTGTAGCGAAGGGCCAGGGGTGTCAGGGTTCTCCTCCTGTCCTCAGCTCCGGTCCCCTGTGGAGGGAAGGCAAGGGACAAGGTGCCTTGAGTTTCGGGGTCACCCTTCCCTGGAGAAGGTGGTCTGAGCACTTATGCTGTGGGGAGGTGAATGATGCCCCAGCTCCTGTGGATAGGAGGCAGCTGTTTCTCTGAGCCTCAGTGTGGAATGGAAGTAGGAGGGGCAGGAAGCTGATGAAACTCAAACTTTATCAATAACAGCAAGTTCACATAGCTCTTCTCATGCCAGGGGCCTGTTTAATGCTCACAACATGTGAGGTAGATACTACTACTATTTCCCTTTCATCTTCGAGGAAACTGAGGCAGAGAGAGTTTAAAAAACTTGCCCGAGGTCACCCAATGAACAAGTAGTGAAGCCAGGGTTTGAACTTCAAACTAAGTTTCTCTTCTTGGATCCCTTTCTTTTCACCAGACCCATTTCTGATGCTGGCCGGGGCATTATGCCAGGTTGCTTTTTGTTTGAGGTTGCAGGAAATGACTTTTGAGAGAGAAGTTGGTTCCCCTTCATCCCCAGAAAGAAAAGAATTGTGCCACGGACATATGAATGTGGCCTTGCTTCTTTTCTAGGTCAGCATGGAAGGCTGATGATTAAAACAACAACAATGACAACAGCAGAACAACACCAATAGGAAACACGGAGACACTCCAGAGACACATGAGCACTCCAGGGCCCTTGCATAGGTGGACTTGTACTCTCACAGGTACTGATACGTGAACATACTTGGTCAAGGCTCCTTGGCTGAGCTCAGAACCCTGGCTGTTTGCAGTGGCTGAGGACACCAGGATTCCCTTCTTTGAGGGCCTAGCACCCTGGGGAAGATAAGCAAGTAAATGACAAAGAGGCTGGATCTCAGCTTTCCTACAGCTGGTGACCTTGAGCAACTGGTGCTGTGCTTTGTGTCACATGACCAAGTGGGGCGAGCTGTGCAGAAAGGGAGGGGAAGCTCAGACAAGTGACAAGGGAGAGCCCAGGCCATTTCCAGCAAGAAGCCCTGTGAAGTGCTAGTCCTGGGCTCTGCCTGGGGCCTCCCGGGGTGGAGGGGGGCTCACCTCCGGCCTTGGGGGCTCGCTGGGCAGCAGCTCACCTTGGTGCAGGCAGGCATGGTGACGTTCAGGTGGCAGAGGATGTGCTGTGTGTCCTCGTACTTCATTGCCTTTCGCAGGAACGACAGGAACCCTGCTGGCTCCCGACTGCTGTCCCTCACCTAAATGCAATCACACACAGGAAGACTCAGCAGGCCTGTCTGTGGCCACCAGGCAGGTAGACTTACAGATTTCTACCTCCCAAACTTCTCAGACCCAGAGGGGAGGTTGGCAGGAGGTGGTGGCACCTTCACAGGTATGGCCAAGCGGTTCTCCCGAAAGGACTGGAACTGGAAGCTGCGCTGCTGGGCAGCCTTTCTGACAGGTACCAGGTTTCCAGAAAGTTCTGCAAAAAGGGGCATCCCTTCCAAAACCTGGAGGACAGGGAAGCAAACACAGCCCATCATGTGGAATGCCCAGTGCCCTGCTTCAGGCATTGGTCTTCCCTCCCTGGACGGGCCCTTGTCCCAGTGTAATGCTCAGGACATGTTCCGAGAACCCATGGTTTTGGAAAAGCTTCCTGTCTGAGGCATGACGAGTGAGACATGCTTCCTGGCTTCCCAGGAGTTCAGGATAAGCAAGTGCTTCCTATGCTCCTGAGCATGGAGCGGGGTTGCTACCAAGTACTCTAGAACACCTCAAGGACGTCATGATATGGCTTCTGAAAAACTGCAGGGTCTGTTTTCGCATCTGCCAAAGGTGTTTAGCCCATGAGTAGACCATGCCAGAAAGACCACACTGGTTTTAAACTGTGTATGTAAACCAATGTGGTCTCAGGGTCCCATCTGACTACTGGGAAAGTTGAGGCTCAGAGCAAATAACTGCTATGCCCAGTGAGCACCTGAGACAGCATTAGAGCCAGGGCACTGGAGTCCCCACAGCAAGCTTTCGACACTGGGCCCTCGACGTTCCCAGGAGGCTGGCTCAGGTCTGTTCCTGGCTCATCACATGTCTTCACAGGAGGTATCCAGGGTCAGCTGTGGGGTCACACCTGTTCTCATCCCTCAATATCTCCCATCATGTCCCCCAGTGCCCCTGCTTCCTCAGCTACCAAAGCCCAGCACTGCTCAAGTGGGACATATTCCATCTCCACCCTTTACTCCACTGTGTGACTTGGGCAAGTTGCCTAACCTTGCCTCCTACCCTCAGCTTCCTGCTATGCAAGTCAGGAATATTAAAGGAACCCACAGATATGAGAATCAGTCAAGAGTATGAAATCACTCCAGTAACTGTCCACTGTAATCATCACCACTCACCGGTCGGCCAACTAACTGCTGCCTGCCTGAGGTACACATGACTGGGTCCCCAAGTCAGTGACAGCTAATCTGAGATGCTCTTTAAGACAGAGACCTTGTCCCCCTGCCCCAAGGACTTCCTGTCAGCCCTGGCCATCACAGCCCCCAGAGCGGCAGGTAGAGCCTCATCCTAGCTCTGGGTCTGGGTCTGCCTGTGTGAGGTGAAAGAGGCCTGTGAGGGTCTGGTCACAGAGGGACCCAAGTGCCGCACCTCTATGTCCCTGCTCCGGGCCACCTCCACAAAGTTCTCATGCTGTTCCAGGGTCTTGTCCACTTTGTCATCTGTCATGCAGTAGCACCGCAGCCGTCCTTCCCGGGGGTCATTCATCTTGGCGAAAATGACAAACTTGGCCATGTAGGGCACTGCAGTCAGCTCTTTGTACAACAGAGTGGCAAAGTTCACAGCCTCTGCAGTCCTCGGACAGTCCGATAGCCAAAACCTGGAATGAGAGCTCTAGTGATGAGTGTGCTCCTGGGTGATGACGGAGAGTCTGGACCATCTGGTTGGAGTGGTCTGGGAGCCACACAGTGGCCACTCTGACATCCCTGGTGGCCAGGGGACAGAGAAGGAGCTCAAGCTTGGATGACTCTCAGGCCAGGGCCTGAGGAAGGGTTGCTGGTGGCCGCTCTGAGCCCCTGCTGTGCTGTGCTGGGCCTTCTCTACCTGGCGGAGACGTTGGTGGTGAAGTTGGCACACTCATTGGCATACACAAGCTTGGTAGTTCCCGTGATATCTTCCCACTGGGCTTGGTCAGTTCCACCTGCAACAGCAGCAGAAGTGGGGCTGGGGATGCTCTTCTGGTGTAAGCATGGAGCTCACCAAATTGCCCAGGCCCTGCTACTCGAGGGTAGAGGTGGCACACGAGAGTGAGGCTTGGGTTATGACCTGAGCACACCCATTCTCTCATAATACGTCCCTCTTCCTAGTGACCTGCAGTGCCCTTCTCCAGGGTGCAGCAGGCCCTTCAGGACTCTTACTCAGATGTACCACTGCTCTGTCTCAGAAGAGCACATCACCGTGGAGAACCAGCAAAACCCAAGTGGTTGCTGGCTTTGCCCTTTCCCGTCCCCTACCAGTGTCTTCCAGAAGGAGTTGCTGCCATGGAGAAAGTGAGACAGGCCCAGGGATGCCTCTCACCAATGACGCTGCAGAGCAGGCGCAGGCTGGTGGTGTCTCCCTCCCCGTTGTCCCTTGGGTTGTCCGTCCACGAAGGAGGCAGTGGGATCCGAAGTCCAATGGGGCGGTGGAACTTCCGGCGCCGTGGTTCCACAGTGACAATGGGGCTGAATGTAGCCTGGTTGCCCAGGAGCTTGGTGACCAGCTCATCTGGGACAGGCTGGGCCTGTGAGGTGCCAAAGGGAGAGGAGGGGCTGGTCAGACAACAGACAGCCGGGTGCCCTCCAACAAGGCCAAAGCCTCTGCATCTACCATGGCCAGTGCTGGACCCCTGGGGCTGATGTCACCACTCAGCTCTGCATTTCATTCCCAGGGAGGGCAGCCAGGACCCCTCCTGCATCAGAACTGGTATGGCTTGATGCACGCTGTGGGGTTTTCCTGGACTTCACAGGGAGCAGCTGCCTTGTCCCTCTCACCCACCTTTCTCCCTTGAGCTTCCTTCCTCTCCTGTAGAATTCTAAGGCCCTGGATGCAAGTGTGGACATACCAGGGAGGAGGGGAGTCTTTGTGGGGGACTTGAGTGACTCCTGCCCTCTGGGACTTAGTGGGGCAGGGGCTGTCACCTGCAGAGCCAGCTTCACTTTCTTGGTGACAGCATTTTCCGGGAATGTTGCCTGCACCAGTGGTACCAGCTTGCTCTTCAGAGAGCCACCCTCAGGCCCAATGGTGTCAAAATCCTGGCAGAGCCTCGACATGATCACGAAGTATAAGGGGAAATCGGTGGTGATGATGCGACAGACCCTCTTCTTCTCCAGCTCCTCCAGGCTCCCCAGCTCTGGAAGCACGAGGTAGGGCAGCCCACACTGTCATGCTGAGCTCAGGCTCAGCCCCGGTGCTGGCCCAGGAACACTGGTGTCCTCCCCTGTGGACACCCCGCCAGAAGCTGGCAGAATAGGCTCAGGCTGGGAGTGGGGCCACACACCCTCTCACACGCCTTGGGCCCCAGGTTCTGCCACAGGGGCCACTCCCAGCCCCTCAGCAGCCCAACAGCCCCCCAGGGTGCCCGCTTACCCTCATCCATCCCGCTGAGGATCTGGTCCAAGGAGCTCTCGCCATAGCGGCTCTTGTGCTCCTTCCACACAGAGCCATTCTCACTTCTCAGGACCACAAGCTCTCGGTCCCCTCGGCCGTGGGAGGCAAAATGGGGGATCTCCACGATCACAGGGCTGCAGCAGGAGGGACAGATGGTGGGCATTTGCTCTCCTGTGCCAGCACTGCCAACCCTTGAGTGGAGCAGACCCAGGCCCAGGTCCTGAGGCTCCTGCGCCCTCTGGCACCCCACTGGGCTGGAGTGATGGAAAGGGCTGGCAGGCAAGAATGGGCACCTCTGCCCTGGGCACAGCTAAGCCTCTGTGACCATCACCCTGGGTCAAGAGCCTGAGACCCTGCCAGACACTCCCAGACAGGTGACCAACCTCTAGGGCCTGGCCTCCTCCCCCATCACAGGCCATCATGGTATTTCCTCTGGCGGGAGGCTTTGGGGATTACAGTGAAAGAGGAAATCAGTGTGCAATCGAAAGCTTAGAGTGGTGACAAGTGGATGGACAGGGCTGGAGTGGGTCCAGTGCCTGAAGGGCAGCAAAGCTCCAAGAGACGCCCCGGCTTCAAAGGTGAGGGACATCCATGTGTGTGTGGTCCTCATAGCAATGCCACAGAGGCACTTTCCAGACTGCTTCAGTATTCACATAATTAAACCCAAGGGGTCCCCAAAGCAGTCCCATCTTCTCCTTCTCTTCTGTAGTGTGCCAGGAAAATAAAACACCTTTTTTCTTTGGCAGTACTGGGGATTGAACCCAGGGCCTTTGCACCGAGCCATATCCCTACCCCTTTATATATATATTTTTTGGTACCAGGGATTGTCCTTTTTATATTTTTAAGATGGGGGTCTTTATCTACATGTTAAGTTGCTTGTGCTAGACTTGAATTTGCAATCTCCTAGCTCAGCCTCCCCAACACTGAGATTGTTGTAGATAGGTAAGTTAATTAGATATCTTGTGAGCAGTTAGACAGGGCCACCCTTAAGGCCCCAGTCTTCAAGGTGCCAGCCCTCCAGGAGCCAACACAGGGAGGAGCCAACATGGAGAACAGTTGAGGCACATTCACTGGTTAGCATTATAAAAGCAAGAGGCACTACTTCCCCTGGGGATAGATAGCAGTGATTGATATTCTAAACGGGAAACCCCTTGTGTGTGACTTATTTTCCCATTTGATCCCCATTTAATCAATATTACCTGGGTGACTGTATTTGTAGTCTTATTGGTTGGTTGAGGTTTTGTCCCACCTCATGCCCACCTTGTAAATTTCCATTGGGTCTTACAGTTTTGTCCCACTTTGTACCCACCTCACCACACAGCCTTGCTGTATAAAACACCTCTGAAAAGTGGGGTGAGTGGGCAACCCACTTTCCAGGCCCCCTTCTGTCCCTCTTAGACAGAAGCTATCTCTTAATAAATTTTCTTACTCTTAACCTCTGTTGTTCCTAGAATTCATTCTTCGATTTTAGAGAACATGAACTCGAGTTTCGGATATCTAGTAGGTTTGGGAGTTACATCTATTTCCCCTATATCAGGATTACCCACCAAGATTTGGGAGTAGCAACTCTGCCTAGGCTGGGTTCCTTAATGTGTTTAGGAAAGGCAGAGTGATGGCAGTGGGGCTCCCAGTTCTTGTTTCCCTCTCAGGACAATGGAGAGATGAGCTGGGCCGGGGCTCTGCCTGGGCAGTGGCAGCAGTGTATGAGCAGGGCAGGTGAGGCTGGGGACCGACCAGCACCATGCACATGTCCCCCAGGGTGCTGCCTCACCTCAGGAACTGGGCGCCGGTGGGCCCCAGTGCAATGATCCTGCTGGCCAGGCCCTCCTCCTCAGCCAGTGGGGGCGGTGTGCTCAGCTTCTGGGGCTTCACCAGGCGGCAGGTGATGCGTGTGGGTGCTGCACAGGTCCGAGGTGGGATCACTACCCTGAGGCCATTGTGGCGACTTCCTCTCATGGAGCCTCCCCGGGCATCGACCATGAAGCTAACCAGAAATCTGGAAGCAGGGCAAGCTCATGTTGGGCACCTACACCTCTCTTGGGGACAGGGAGGGTGGACCCCAGGGTCCTGGCCACTCACCCTGTGTGGACGGGGCTGGCCACTGGGCTGATGTTGTCAGAGGTCTCCGTGGCTGGGCTGCTGGGGATGAGCGAGTCCTCATCATACTCTTTAGAGGCCTAAGGAGGAGAGAAAGGCCTCCAGGATCCCATCTCACCACCCTTGGGCCACCTGAACACCATAACTGACTGCAGAGCCCCGTGGAGAAAGACTCTTTGGGGACAAGGCATTCCTGGGTGGAAAAGCATCAAAGACCCCTGTACCTCCACAGCCTCTCCATGGCTGCAGACCCAGGGCAGGGCTTGGGAACAGATGGAGGGAGCTCTTGGTCTCAGCAGGCTGCAGGTCCCCTGCCTGCTGCTCACCTGTCCACCTGCCCATCTGCTTGAGGCCCGCTGTTTTCCCCTCTGGAGTTGGCCTGGCACCTGCACTGTCACCTCTTAGCTACCCACTCTATGGGACTCTGCGGTCTGCATGTGAGTGCACGGGGCACTTTGAGGCCTCTATCTCCTCCTTTGTGGAAGGGGTGCTCCTTCCCTCACAATGATGGCACAGTTGCAGGGAGCCTGGTCCTGCTCTCCCTCCTGTCCAGAACTGGGCCCTGTCTTTCCTTCATCTAGTCCTATCCCCTTTTCCTGCTTGCTTCTGCAGGGAGTTCTCCTGTTGAGTCCAGCTGCCCCTCTGCACCCTTGAAAGCCTTTCTCACACTACATGATCAATTGCTTAGCTGTCTAGCCCTCCTGCCATCTGCCTCCTGGCCTGGTATGTTGGAGTCACTCCCATTCCCAGCTGGGTAGCAGCTCCAAGGAGGCAGATGCCCCAGACCCCCTACATCAAGCCCTACACAGGGTGCCTAGCAGGAACCCAGGAAGTAGCCACTGACTTGAGGAGTTCAGAGAGGTGCTGGTGTAGCTTGGTGGTAGAGCACAAGCTTAGCATATGTAAGTTCCTGGGTTCAATCCCCAGCACCAAGGAAAAAATACAGATGAAGAGAACGAGCTGGTCAGAGAACAGCAGAACACAGGCCCACCTGGAGGACTTCCACTGCTGTCTTTGGCAGCACCCAGGAATATGTCATGGCTGCACCAGGGCCACCCAGTGACACCAGCACCCATCACTGTGGTCCATTCCAGCTCGAAATAGCTGAGGGGACAGTGTAAGGCTGGCTCTGTCCTTGCTCCACACCTGGTCTGTGCTCAGGCTGCTACTTCTAGACATGTACACCTTAGAACTGAGACTTGGCTGCAAAAGAGCCATGCTGGGCTCAACTATCATGCATAGGTGCCAATGCCAACCTCCAGCATCATAGTGCTTTTTTCTCCTTATGAAATCCCCTTGCTTGAAAAAAAGTAACAATGGTATAATACTAAACAAAGGGAAGTTCAATTGCAATAAATTATACCCTACTTATGTGCTTTTTTGTACAAACTGAGGTGGCTCTGAGGACACACAGAATGGTACCACAATGAACAACACCCAGAACTGAGCTGCTCTCAGGCACCCTTCTGTTCTGTTCCCTGGGGGAAGGTGAGACAGAAACTGTGCCCTCTTGTGGGCGCAAAAGAGAAGGAGCCCACAGCACACGACCTGCCCAGCGTATCCCAGTGGCACCCGTGGGCCACCAGGAGGGTTTCTGTCTGGCACTATGATCTGCTGCCCACAAGGGCAGAGTCTGGGCACAGAAATGTGGCTGTGAGTGTGGGCTTTGGAGACAGAACTGCTGGTGTGGGTCCTTGGCCTCACGCACACCTGGACTGCTATGACAGTGTCTCACACACCCCGGCTCCTGAGACCTGAATACTCTCAGAGGCTGACACCCAGGGCTCCCTCCACAGAGCACATGGAACCCTGGACCAGAAGGACCCCTACAAATGGTACAAGCTTCCCCAGGTTGGTTCTCAGTGTACTCCACTAGGAGGTGTCTTCGCTGCACCAGGTGACCTGCAAAAGGGACAGCACAAGAAATGGTGCTCTTTACCTGCTCCGGCTCTTCAGACCTGATCAGCACCGTCTCAGGGGTGACACAGGGGATCCTCGGGATGGCAGGAGATTCCACCCTGTGCACAAAGGCATTGGAGAAATCAAAGGGTGGTACTGCAGAGAGCCTGTTTCCCTCAAGAGACCTCAGTGCAAGGCCTCCATGCCCTGCTGCATGCACAGCCTCAACTCCCCACTTCCACATAGGGCCCAGCCTTTCCCCTGAGCACTGAAGCCTTTGCCTCCTTTGTGCTGTGCAGAACTCTGCCCTGCAGACCGGGCTGAGGGACCTGCCTCTTCTACGCCATGTCCCCTCTCCCTGCCTTCACCCCTGCCTTCACCCCTGCCCTGAAGTGGCACGGCCCCTGTGGATGGGACCTCATGCTGGCCTTGGTGATATATTACTCTATAACCATTTGGTTTGGCTTTTTCCCCCCCTAGTATTAGTGATGTAACTCAGGGCCTTTGTGCTGAACTACATTATTCCCTATTTTGGGGTTTTTTTTTTAAGACAGAGTTTTGCTAGTGCCATGCTGGACAAACTTGTGATCTTCTGGCCTCAGCCTCCCAAGTAGCTGGGAACCTTGCTTTGGTATGTGTTTTGTTTTATTTGTTTGTGGTACTAGAGATTGAACCTAGGGCTTTCACACTGAGCCACATTCTCAGCCTTTTTAATTTTATTTTTTAAAAGTTTGAGTCAAAGTCTCACTAAACTGCAGAGATGCCTGGGCTGGGCTTGAACCTGAGCTGCCTCAGCCTCCCAGGGTGCTGAGACTAAAGGCATAGGTTTTGGTGTGGGCTTTGATCCCACCAAATGAATCCATAACATCTTCATGCCCAGGGTCTGAGTCCAATAAATACAAATTGGAACTGTAGTTTCCCTTCCTGCTTGTTGTGCTGCCCTGTTTTATATAAGCCAGTGGATACTTCTTGTGTTTCCAGAAAACACTTAGGGCTAAGTATGTGTGAACAGAGGCCAGGGTGAGGCTCCTTAGCAAATCGTCCCTGTGTAAAATGTCTCCAAAGCAGCAGAGCTCCCTGCAGTCAGACAGGAATGGGAAGCAGGGTCTAGGTGGCCACAGGCTCTCTGTGGGTTTTACCCCATGGATGGAGGGATGTGGTCAGAGGCTGATATTAGCCTGGTAATTTCTTTTTTTTCCAGTACCAGGAATTGAACTCAGGGCCTTGCCCTTGCCAGGCAGGCACAGTGCCACTGACCCAGCCTGGCAATTTTCTAATATGAACCTTCCCTGGGGATTATTCTGGGAGTTCATGAGGACAGGGGTTGTGGATGTGAGGCTGTGAGCTAGGGGGAAAAGTGCTGGGGTTTGGGGTGCTAGGGGAGAAGACCCACTAGACAGCTCAAGGTGATGAGGTCCTGCGTGGGACCTTGGCAGGCAAGGTGCAGAGCTGGCTGACCCTCATATGCTGGGACCACATTCCAGCTACTGCGTTGGCAGCATACCCAGGGCCTGGCCTCATCATGACCTCTCCCCAGTCCGCAACCCCACCCTGAGTTCAAGCACTGCACCTTCGCCACCCATGGTGTGACCACTCCAGCCAGCCCTGCTTACACCTGGTCTAGCTTTGGCACAAAGTCCAACAGCTCCCTCTCTTCATCCATGTCTCTGGAATCCTGCCGCTCAGCCTTGGAGCCTACAAGGTCTTCCCCTGGAACAACACAAGCCTCAGTGAGCGAGCGCCTGGAGACAGAGGGCCTCCTCTTTCTTCCCAAGGAGTAGAGGGTGGCCTCTGATGTTCCAAGGGCCCCTGAGCACCACATGGTTTGCCCAGTCCTGGCCCCCCAGCCCATGAGCTCAGAGCAAGGCAGCCAGCTCCTCACTTCCTAGTACCTGGCTTTGGAGGAAGGACGACAGCACAGGCAGAAAGAACTTTCTTAGCTGGACAAGTTCCCACTGCAAAACAGCCCTTTTGGGGTGTGCAGTGACACCCTAAAAAGAGGTGTTACTGCCCTCTTCACCACCACAGAGGAATTAAGTTATACTGGAACCAAACCCACTCATTCAAAGAGGCTGGAAGGTTTTCTCTAAACATGGTTGCTGAAACCTCACTATTTCCATTACTGTTTCTGTTATTTCACCATTCCTTATTATGGAATTATTATTTGTACTTCCAAAGAGTACAGAGTTCAAGCTTCAGGTGGACCAGCCACCTGCATCCCTGGAGGCCTCTTGGTTTCTCTCCTTGCCTGACCTGGGGTTGGAGCCTGGGCCCTTGCCCTCGCCTGCCATCGACCAGTATGAGACAGGGTGTGCCCGGCTTTGGGATGTGGAGCTGACAGATGGAATCACACAGCTCATGCAGTGATGACCACAGACACAGTGGCATGGGCGCACACAACATGGACAGGCACACGCAGGTGCCCAGTGGGGGGCGCATGGGTGAGGATGTCCTGATTTAGTCAAGCTCTGGACTCTGACGCACGCCCCCAGAGGATGGAGAGCAGCAATGGTTAGTGAGGACTCCGAGTGCTTGGGTGGGATGCACTCTGGTGAGAGACCACAGGGAACAGAGAGCATTTCATACCCATTATAGTTATGTGAGCGGTTCCTAGAAAGCAAAGGAGAGCCAAGTTGAAGGAAGGACAGCACTGAAGTCAGGTAAAGTGAGAGGCACATTATCAAGAATATACAAGGACAGATCTACACATCTAGTCAACAAGGTCACATAGTCACTGAATTATGGACTACAGATGGGAGGGGCTGCAGCACAGACTCAGTCCAATCCACTGTTTGTGTCCTGGGGGGGTCTTGCAAGCTTGAGTGGAGTGGGTATTATTGGGGGAAGGAATGATACTAAAAGCACCCTGTAATTCCCCAAGTTGACCCTGCTGTGACTTCATAACAGTGGAAGAATCTCCAAATCTACTGGCCCACCCAGGACCACACCTTATTAAAACTCATTCTCACTGATTGTAAATAACCCACTTCAACTCATGCAGAGCACCAGGAAAGCACCAGCCCGAATGTTACCACAGTTCCAATCTGAGTCACATTCCACTCCAACACAATACCCACACACCACACACACGCACGCACGCGTGCACGCAATTATGATAAATTTTAAACTTCAATCCCTCAGATGTCAATTTCCCCAAACCCATGACTATGTGAAAGGAGTTTTTTGATAATAGACAAGATCTGTAAAAAGTGGGTCCCCTTTCGGGGCCGAACCCGAGTGTGTCGTGAGGGAACTTTGTGTGTGGCCTTGCAAGGGGCATGATACAACTTGGGGTGCTTAGGGACCCTCAGTCCCCATGAGCTCATCATCCTGTACTTTACCTTCGTCCTCAGAGACATCGAGGATCTCATCGACCGTCTCAGGGTAACTCATCCGGTGCTTGTCACTGACTAACTGAAAGGAGAGAAGTGGATAACTCAACCCAAGCAGCAGGGCACCCTTTTCCCATCCAGCAGGCACCTGGTGGTCATGAGGTGACAGAGAGGAGGTAGGAAAGGAGGTATATACCAAAGGAAGAAAACCAGACCCCTGGGCTCCCTGCAGGCACCCCAGGGAGATAATGGGGTTCCACCAGGCTGCTGCTCCCTTTGGCCACAGCCCCAGTGGCTCTGGCCACTAGGTGGCAGCACAGTCTGCCTGAAGCAGGTTGCTCTGCTGCCCTTTGGGTGGGTGCTTCCTGCTGGGCAGAGGCTTTGGGCTTCCAGCATAACCCAAAGGCCTGGAGGTCAGGCTGAGATTGGGGTACAGGGCAAGGCAGACGTACCACTACGCTGGTTTCATCCGTGACGACTTTGAGCACATCTGTTACAGAAATGTAGCCCAAACGCTTGGCGATTGCCAGAGGTGTGGTTCCATTCTAGGACAAACAGAACAAGAGGGTGGAGTCAGACATAGGACCAGGTCAGAGGAGAGTGTGGCCCCTGGGGGTGGAGACTCAGTTCACTTCTGGTGGTATGGAAGGGCCAAAGGGACAGAAATCTCTTGGAGCCGAGAGCCAGATCCCTGTAAGAACAAGTGCCTCAGTGCCCAGAGAGGCTGGGAAGGAGGAGGAGGTGGGAACCTGTGTGGTGGGTGTGGGGCAGGGGGAAGCTCTGGAGGGCAGAGCCACTTCCCAAAAGAGAACCCTGGGAGAGGCAGGTGGGAAGCCATGCATTGATTCCAGGAGGAGAGCACAGAGTGACACCGCTCCCAGAGAGCTGCAGCGCCAAAATAACCCTGTACTTCCAGCAGCTGAGCCAGCCTTCAGTGGTCACAAGTCACTAGAGATGGAGCAGGGCATGTTTGCAACTTTTTTTTTTTGGTACCAAGAATCAAACTCAGGACCTTGCACTTGCCAGGCAAGTGAGGCACCAGTGAACTACATCTCCGGCCTTGCAACTTTGATTTTAAGTGAGTTAAGTGAAAATGAACTGATAGTTTCTCGAAGGTTTTCTGTGTAGCTCTGGGATATGTCCTGGGGTCCACACCAGCTCAGCTCCACTCACAGTTACCTCCAGCACATACACTACCATGCACTTTTGGAGCTGAGCAGCACAGAGACTATCTAATCAAACCTCCACATGGTCACAGAGGAGGTTCATCCTCAACCACGACCACTGAGGTTGCTAATGAGAGCCCCAAAGCCCTGAAAGAGGGCCCCCTGAAAGAGGGGACCCCAAGACACTTAATGGTGTTCACGTGTGCCACAAGGACAGCCATTTCATATATTGAGACAGAGCGTCAAGAATATTTAAAACCAAAAAGGGGAGAGTAAATGCTACTTAAAAGGACAACCTTCAGTCACCAGAAAGAGACAGGGATCCCAGAGCTGTCCTCTGGGGCACGCCACTACTCACCGAGCTGACCTCATTTGGGGAAGCACCACTCCTCAGCAGCAGTGTCACGATGTCTGTGTGTCCCTGCTGGGCCGCCTGGTGTAAGGGGCTGTATCCTAGCTGTAAAGGGAGGCCAAGATGTCAGGACCAGCTAGCTGCTGGAGAAGGACTCATCCACACACTCCAGAGCCCATTTGCTTCCCACACATGACAGGAAGAAATGTGTTTTCCCCTTTTTCTCCTTCAGGGACAAAGCTTAAAAGTGTGGCTGAGCCCAAAGTGTGTTTAGAGCAGCTCAGGTGCATCCTACGGGTACATGAGAAGTGTCAAAGTAGGACCCGGGCTAAAGCACCCTGTACCTTGGTCTTGGCATTGACATCCGCTTGGTGCTGCAGCAGAAACTTCACCAGCTTGATGTTTCCATAGTGGCTGGCCACATGGAGCGGTGTGTAACCCATCTGAAAAGCAGGAGACGCATAGGTGCCCAGCAGGGCATCCGGGAAGACAGAGCCACCACAAACTGCCTTTATTGAAAGCCTACAGTCCTACAGCAGTTGGTTAAAAGAGGGAGGGAGGGCCTGTGAAAAGCAGCAGCTGCTGGAAGCTGTGCTGCTGTCAGTAGTCAGAGAAGGAGCAGGGCTCTGTGTCAGAAAGTGAGGGCTGAGGCAGCAGTGATTAAGCCCTCGAGGCACCTCGCAGGCAGGGCATATGGGAAAGGTGTCAGGGTGGGGAGAGCCGAGGGCCCTGGGGAGGGGACACCTGAGAGAGTAGGGAGGGAGAGGGGGCCCAGGGACAGTGGCAACAGGTAGAGGGAGTCATCACAGAGTGTGGAGAGATGCTGGTGAGAGCAGTGCCAGAATCCCCGGGGTCACTTCAAGGAGGCCACATGAAATCACAGTGGACCCTGACCACAGCACCCTGTGTCTGTTAGGAAAGTGAAATCCCAAGGAATTTACGGGAACCGGTCACTGATTGAAACAAGTGGGCTGTGGTTATTTATTCATGTGGGTTTGGGATGCCAAGGAGCCGATCTGTCCTGTTCAGATTTTTGTTCTGTGTTTTGGTGCTGATGTGGAACCTGAGGCCTTGTACAAGCTAGGCAGGCACTCTACCACTGAGCCATACCCCAACTCCTATGGCATATTTGGGGGCTGCCCCAAAGGCCAACAAGCCAAGGCCTTTGAGGTCTTTGGTCCCATGCCCTAGGGGAACCAGTGACAGATTCCAGAGCTTGAGGACTGGACCTCTGTAAAGGCTTTGCAAGCCTCCAGGCAGTTCTAATGCACAGATAGGGCTTCTCAGAGCGGGACCCCAAAGGACTAAACTGGGCCCACAAGAGAAACCCTAAGGATCTAGATCATTTTCAGGTTTAAATAGGTTGTTGCTGAAGCTTCAGGCAGTTGTGGATTAAAAAACAGGTTCTAGACTTTTCTCAGTGCAACTTCAGCATGACACTGGTGCCCAGTGCCCAGTGCCCAGTGTTCCAGTGGGAAGCTCTGGAAGGGGAAGGGTGGGGCAGGGTGGTGTCACCCAGATGCCTTGTGACAAAGGAGTAAAATGCACTCATCCATGAGGCTCCTTCCTTCTTCCCTGCTGGAAAGACCCATCCTCCCTGGGTTCTGGCTCCTCTCGTACACAGCCATCAGGTTCCTCAGCTCCTCCCTGTTCCTCACAGCCACCTCCAGCTGAACTGCAAACGCCCCTAGCATGGTGTGTAGACTGTGCACGTGGCACCATGGTTGCCTCACACTGCCTTACAGGGCTCCCGGCACGTGGAAAAGGTGCAGAGAAAGACAAATGGATTTTGCTGCATGCAAGAAGAAAATCGTGTTTTTGAGTGACTCCAGGGGAGCCTGACAGGTGGGCACACTTCCTGCTCCCCTGAGACTGGTCTCAGCATCATGATTAAGCATTTCTCTCAATTTCATGTTCCAGAGGCTCAAAGGCCTAGCATGCTTTTTAAAATTCTCAAATGGAAAGTAAGATCATTAGGATTGATGTCTTCAAACTCCACTGCCAGGCCCAGGAAATGGCAGGAGGAAAGTTCCACGTGGTTCTTGGGGTTTGGCTCTGTGCAAAGGGTGTCTCTGAGAGGCAAGGGAAGTACCTCTGGGTGGGACTGTGTCAAAGTAAGTGGGCAGGGGTGGGCCCTATGGGACAGGGAGGCTGCCAGGCTCACCCGGGTGGTGGAGTCCACTGTGACACCATGTTTGATCAGCACATCTGCCACTGGGACGTGTCCTTCTTGGGCTACCAGATGGAGAGGAGTGAGTCCACTCTGGAAAGAAAAAATGTGCATCATCAGCTTTGAGCCAGGAAAGGATTAAGGCACAGCAACAGAGCACTGAGGTTTGGGAACCAGACCTGGCTCTGTAGCCACTGACCTGCATTTGACCAACTATTTGGTAAAATTATTCTTGTTCAGAACCTCAATACCTTTACCTTAAAAATTAGGTATCTAAAACTAGATCAGGTGTTAGCAACGTTTTCTGTTCGGAGCTGGATTGTCAAGACCTTAGAGCCACGGCTTTGTAGCAAGTCCCCGACGTTGCCAGTTGTGGTAACAAGCAGCTCTGGCCAACACAGAAATGAGTGGGGATGGCGGTGATCCAATAAAGCTTTATTTACATAGAAAAGGAGTAAGGCGGGTTGGGCCACAAGTCATCGGTGAATTTTATGGTACCTTCCAATTATAACATTTCCCATTTCCATGCTAAATTTCAGAGACTTGGTTTCCTAACTTAGGATAGAGGGATTATCACTGACTTAATCTCAAGGACAAAGTGGGGAGCATTTGAGAAAGCACGGGTTATGTGAAATCATTTTGAAGAGCATGATGGGCCCTGTAAAGGTAGCTTGTCATTGTTGGCACTGGTGCAGCACTGTACAGAGGGGAGGGTGCCTTGGGAGTGAAAGCCCCCACTCTGTATTTCTCAGCTCAGCCTTCTGTGAGGACAGCATGTGCACAAAGTGTCAGAGGCTTCTCTCCCCCATCTTACCTCCATGACCTCTGTAGACAGTGGGACAGATTTCTGTTCTCTGCCAGCACAGTCCCCAAGGCTGCCCAGGGTCCAAGGGTGATGCCCCCAGCACTGAGGTCACTGTGTCAGCCACCAACCTTTTAGGCAGGTGCCTCACCTGACTCAAGATCATCCCAAGAATCTGCTGTGTGAGGGGTGTGGGTGAGGGCGTGTTTCTGGAACAGACCCACCATCATTACAGTCTACTTATGTAGCCCAAAGATGTGGGATCAGAAGACATTCAGGCTGTCATGAAACACAATGTCCCACCATGACAGTTCCCGCTGGGGAGTCACCTGTCCCCATGTATACAAAAAGGACCAATGGATTGAAAGGCTTTTAGGAAATCTGAAGTTACTCCTAAAATGCTCATCTTTCAGAAACTCTTATGTTAATTTATCATCTGCAGTGGTTCTTGTACTATGTGATTCCATTTATATAAACGTCCAGAACATGCAAACTAACAGAGCAGCTGAGTGGCATCAGGGTTGGGGCTTTTGTGGAAGGGAAAGTGGCCGCTCTGCAGACCAGGTTCCTGATGGGTTATGAAAATGTCCTAAAATTACACAGTAGTGACAATTGGCCAGTCCTGTAAACATACTAAAAGCCATCAACTTGAACAGTGGTAAATTTTGTGAAATTTATTTCAGTAAGACAGTTATTTTAAAAAAGAAGTAATTCTTGGTCAGGTTATGAATTCTTTTGAAGTAAACTAGCAATAACTCACCTAGAAAAAGGATCTTGTGACCCAAGGACTGTGTAACATTTTATTATTTTGGGGGGCGGGGCTTGCTTAAATTATTTTATTGGTACATTTTAGGTATACAATACATTTACATTTATCATTGGGTGCTTATGCCTGTACATGATGTATCTTAGTTCTTATTTTTTCCCCATTACCTGTGAGCCCTTTACTCCCTCCACCCTTCCCTATTTACATAGACTTTATTTCCATTTTTTTTCTTTTCTCATAAGTTTTCCTTTCCCTTCTTCTCTTTCCCCTTCCTCTCCCACCACCCCTACACCTTTGGACTTTTTCTTCCTATTTCAAATGATCAGTTTTAATCATTTTAATTCTTATTTACACTTTCAGTTTCTCACACTAGAGAAACTATTCAGTATTTGGATTGTGTAACATTTTAGAAGACTTCATGTTCATCCTCCTGTAATTTCTACATTCAACTCCTAATGTATAGGTCTGTTAAAAAAAAATCTTCCCCCATAGGAAATGAATATTTCATACCAAACTATTTAAAACATTCCTGATGTAGATCCTGGGCCATATTTGAGAAAGTGAACTCTGGATTTTCATACTGATCTTTTTGTGATTCCCTGCATGTGTCTATTTAGAAAGATAGGATGGTACAGGAGAGTTGGAAAAGGCTTTGGGGACAAGCAATCTCCCCAACCGTTTTCTACAAAACTGAGCTAAAGCTGACATAAGGCTGTTGTAAGGAAAACACACACACGCACACACACACACACACACACACACACACATACACACACAGAATCTAACTCAGATGAGGAGCACACAGTGGGTACTCAGCACGCAGGTGTTATGTCTAGTGAGCTGGCACCGATTACTGCTGAGACTGAAGGAGGCATCTGAAGGCGCCACACCTACCTTGTTCCCCAGGTTGCCGTTGGCTTGCTTCGAGAGGAGCAGCGCCACCATCTCTGCGTGGCCCTCCTGAGAAGCCAGGTGGAGGGGAGTCACACCTTGCACTGACTCTGCATTTGCAGACCCCCCATACTGCAGCAGACTGCGGGCCACTTCCATCTGGTTCTGCTTGGCGGCGATGTGCAAGGGTGTGTAGCCATTCTGAAACAGAACAAACACCCGGAGCTTGGGGACAGATGAAATAGGAGTGCCTGAGGGAGGCCTCAGAGCAGCCACTGGGCAGGGCTGGTATCTCCTAGGAAAGTCACTAAGTCAATAAACAGTCCACCGGGTCTGGACACAGTTAGCTCTCCAGGCTCTCACAGTCAGCATGCACCTGTGCTTTCTCCACCACCTATTTTCTGGTATTCTTCTGGGACAAACTTCAGGGCAAAGAAAGCTAGGATTCAAATAGGTGACCTACAGAACAACTCTAAGGTGAGGTAGGTAAGGAAGTTAAAGGTCCCTACTTCTTCTTTCCTGCCATAAGAACCCAAAGTCCCCAACACTTCAGAAAGGAAAAGAGGACATGGTCTTTTATCTTTCCCTGTGCAGCTGGGCCCAGGGCTGCCCCTCGGCTGCTGGCACCAGGCAGGGTGGTGTAGGGGGCAAGGAATATCTCAGGAGAACATAGGAGCCAGTCCTGGTTCCACTCCTAATAAGATATGGGGCCCTAGTGCTTCCTCTAGACCAGGGCTGAAGGGACCAGTGACCTCGGTAGGGGATGAGGACAAGGCCAAACTGGTCGGAGGTCAGGGAGAGGTCATGGAGGGACACATGCCGGTCAAAGGCTCTGCTTTCCCAGGAAATGAGCTCACAGGACAAGACAGTCCACCATCTAGACCTCTTTGCCTATTTCTTTTAAGACATTACAAGTGGATAATGATATCTGCCTTCATTTCTTAAAATTGTTCGGTGGATCAAACTCAATAATGCATAAGAGTGCACCTGCCCAAATTAAGATATTGAAGCAACACAAAGTGAATCACGTCTTTGCAGTGCAGTGTTCACAAGACAGTATTAATTCCAAGACAAGATGGAGGAGGTGGGCCCTGGACATCAGCTGTGGCTCTGTCACTGTGCAGCTCATTCACTTAATCTTGTTTTGGTAGCAAAACCTTATCTCTGAAGGAAGCGGTGCCTGGGTTTCCATCTGGAGTAAGCTCGTTGCCTCATGCAGATAGCTGGTCTAGAGACAGATTCCTCTGGTCTTCACTATTAGGAACCACTGTCCCTTTGGTATCTGTTTTGAGCTTCCCCACAACCATGTAAAGCAAGGCAGGAGTTTTTCCCTGTTCCATGTCGTGCGCACAGAAGCCACTTGGGTAAACGACAGCTGAGCCAACCCCTGGTCCTTCAGCCAGAGCAGTGCTTCTTGAACTGCGATGTGTGTGCAAGTCATTGGGGACCTTGCTCAGATGCATATTCCCATTTGGAAGGTCTGAAGAGGACTCAGACTGCCCCCCAGGGACCACACTTCGAGCAGAGAGGCCCAGAATACTCAGGGTGCAGGGCCCAGCCCCTTGGGAGATGGCTAGAGGTGAGAGGTCTCAAGGCTGCCCTTCTTCCCTCAGCCAGGGCCCCTCTGCTGTCCTTGAGGGCGGAGTCCTCCGCCTCCACCCCGCTCACTATCTTGTTATGGTGACTAGCATTTCTGACTCTGCCAGGATCCCTGGCCAGGAAAAGGGAAGGGAGAGGGAGGGGTGTTTACCAACATGGTAGAACTCCAGCTACACTGCACTGGAGGCCATGGAAAACAATAGCAAGGTTGGTCTGTAAAGTGGCTTTTCTAGGGAAATTAAGAATTGTACCTCACTCCCCAAATTAAATTGAACAAAAAAATTCTCTGTGCAGAATTCTGTAACATAATTCCTCCTCCTTAACTGGATGATATTATGAAAATAACATTCTTTGGGGGTCACGTTCAAATGACAACATTGGCATTTTGATTATAATACAATTAATTAAGCAAAATAACTTTTATACTGTATCAAAAAAGAGCAAAGAAAAGGAGATACAGTTCAAGGAGTCAAGCCTGAGACACAGAGCTACCTCCCAACACAGATCCTTACTGTCTGAGAAATAGTCTGTAGTGTGGTCAGGAGTATCCTGGCAAAGGCAAACCTGCCAGCAGATGGCTAAGGCTACCAGATCACCTCGGGTCTAAACCAAGGAACAAATTACCAACCTCTGAACATGGATCTCCGCACCAGTGCTTCCTCTAGACCAGAGGTCAGGGAGGGACATGTGCCTGTCAAAGGCTCTGCTTTCCCAGGAAATGAGATCACTGGAAGGAATGCAGGAACAGAGGGCTCTGCCTAATCAGCACAGCTCTAGCATCAGACTAGGAAGGGGAGGGTTTGGTTTGGGTGCGCAGGGATTTGCATGTGAAATTCTACAAAATTGCCAGACTACTTTGGGAACTATTTTTTGCCATGGAAACAAAACCCATCTGTACAGGGTTTATGCTTGCATTTAGCTCTCTTTAAATATCATAGACCTGGCTCTGATTCCTTTTGTATAAGTAGGCAAGTGAGGAGGAGGAGGAGGGGAGTCTGGCTTTTTATTTTTAGAAACAGGAGTAAGCTGACATCTTAGCAGGGCCACATGTTCCCTCTGCACAGTGATGTGGGGCTGCTACGACAGCAGCAGGGAGAGGAGCCCCAGGAGCCTGGGGCACGATGCTGTGAGGTCAAGATGAGCATCTGTGCCAGGCAGGGAAAACACATGGAATTGCAGCATGGACTCCACCCGCACAAGGCTGCAGGCAGCAGCCAGAACCCCACAGGGGGCCCCACCCCTTGACTTCCATCTCTGCAGCCCAGCCTCTGTAGTGCAGCCTCCTGGGGGCAGGACTGCTGTACCCTGTCCCTCTGCTTGGGCCACCAGCCTCATAACGTCCAGTGCTGCAGACACAGCCTCACACAGCCCTTGCTGCTGTCCCTTGGGAGGAGGGCAGCCTGTTTATTCCACCTTCTGGCTCTATCCTAATCTTCCTCCCGACCCTGGCCTGGTCTGGCCTGCAAGAGGACAGCACGCTGGATGCCTGTCTACCATGGGAGAGGTACAGTCAGGTGTGTCTTGTTAAACAAAAGCTACCATCCTTGTGTCTATCACACATATTCAGAAGAGGCTTCTCACTTCATGGTTCCCACAAGTTCCCTGCACTCTCAAAGCTCCTCCAGGGATGGTCATGGCCCCAGCTCAGAGTCACCCCCAAGGGCAGGTGCAAAATGGGACTTCTGCAGCCCGGGGTAGGACTCCTGGACCAAGGCTCAGGAGCTTCTCAGGCACAATGACCTGTGACAGCCAGCTCACCAGACTCAGTGGGTACACAGCCACCTGGAGCACATGCTTTATGCGTGTAGCAAATCCCACCTCCACGAGGGAGCTGTTGTGGGAAGTGTCACCACGCCCCATCCCTGTCCTGGCCCTTAAACGGCAGCATTTATGCTGCAGGTGACATTTATGAGAGCAAGGAGCGATGTCTGAGGTAAGAACAAACACCCAGGAGGGCCTTACCCAGGCAGGGCTGTGTGGGGAGCCACCCCGGGGCAGCAGCAGCTTCACGATGTCCAGGTTGTTGTGGTGAACAGCCACATGCAGGGGTGTGAGGCCATTCTGCAGAGGAGGAAGCAGGAGAGAGGAAGCCCTCACTCAGGTGTACTTGCCATAGGGAGCCCTCTGGGGACACAGGCATCCATAGCACTTATTTTACATGGGTGAAATCTGGCTAGAAATCCATCCAAAGCCAGGCTGGGGCATAGCTCAGAGGCAGAGCACATGAGCTGGGTTCCATCCTCAGCACCCTTATCACTAAAATAATATTTAAAAAGAAAAATCTGTCCAAAGCCAGTCTTGTCTGGGAGTCACTAAAGATACATCCAGCAGGATCCAGGGCCATCTTCTCATCCCTTAGGGGACCTCAGGGAGCATCCTTCCCACAGGACAGGGCCTTTGGTGGAAAGATGACTCTTTCCAGAGGCTGCTGTCCCTATACAGCTCCCCACTCAGCAGGAGGAAGCACTGGCTCACAACAGTGCAGCCCACCTGTCCTGTTTCTCTGGCCCCACACTCACTTTGCCAGCAGCGTTCGGATGCGCATCACGTTCCAGCAGCAGCTCTGCCACCCGTGCCTTCCCGTACTTAGCTGCCACATGTAGAGGGGTAAATCCTTTCTGAGGAGAAACACAGGCCATCAGGACCCCAGAGCTGGCATTGTCCACCTCGAGGGAAGCCTGGGCAGGAGGCTCCCCTCTTTAGCAGCATGGGGATGCCAGTCAGACCAAGGGCACCTCAGTAGGGTTCCCACCAAGGCCAAAACCTCAGGAACCCACAGTGCACCCCCATCCCACCCCCTGCCCCACCATCTGTGGCTGTCTAGGAGGGACACCTGTGGGGACTGTCACCAACTGTCAGCTCATGGAAGGAAGGGCTGAGTCTTACTCCTGTCTGTGATTGGCCTGGGAGGTGCTGGCAATCGCTCTATGAGAAATGGACGAAGGCCACCCAGGTGCAGAGCATGGCTCCCCACCCTTTCTTGGGGAGTAGACAACACTGTGGGCTCACAGAGGGTGACCAGTCCTAGGGTCGCAGCTGGGGTCCGCTGCTGGGGTCTCACTGTGTGCCCTAGGGTGGTCCTGAATGAGTGAACTACCGGCACTCGGCATTGCACCCAGCCAGCCTGCTGTCATTTGGGACAGGAAGAGGAAGGCTGTACCTTGGTCATGCAGGCCTGAGATGCCTCTTTCTCCAGCAGGGCCAGGGCCGTGTCCACATGGCCCTCTCGGGCTGCGATGTGCAGGGGTGTGTGCCCGGCTGTGGTGGCCAGGTTGGGGTTGGCATTACTTTCCAGCAGGAGCTTCGCCATATTTGTGTGGCCCACTCGAGCTGCACAGTGAAGGGGGGTCTGGTCATCCTGGAATGACAACAGAGAACAGGAAATGTTACCCAAGCCAACTCTTTGCGTGGGTGGTGGTGGGGTTACTAGGAAGACATGAGGGCCTTTGTACTGAGCTACAACCCCAGCCCTTGTTTTTTATTTTGAGACAGGTTCTCACTAAATGCCCAAGTTACTCAGGCTGGGTTGGAGCTTGTGATTTTCCTGCCCCAGCCAGAGATCTAAGTGCCTTTCTGGAGATTACCAGCCAAGAAGATAAAGAGCTGGAATTTGAATCACCTCTCTGAGTTACCCAAACTACTGTGTCCATCTTTTTTTCTACAACTCCTCAAGTGAGTTGTTATTTCTATTTAATTGCCCAAAGGCTCAGCCTTCCCATCTGGAAAATGGGAATAATGATATCTACCTCTGAGAGTCAGGGTCAGGATCAGGCAGGTGGTCTTCACAAAGTCTTTCACATGATCCTGGGCACAGGACAGACACTCAATAAACTACAACTGCTATGCCATCTCTGTGATCCTTTCTAGGTGTCCTTCTGTCTTCAATACTTCCCTCCTTATCCTGAGACTAATCATTAGCCCAATAAACACTTCTAGCCAGCCACACTCCTTGGACTTTCATTATTCTACCGAAATTCAACTTTGAAGAAAAAAATATCTGGCCTCCTCAGAGCACCTACAAAGCAGAATCAGAGCTTCCTGTGACCTAAGTGGGAATAATAAGTGACCATAGAGCCACAACCCTGAGGCCCTGCCTCTAATGAAGATGGATTCCCTGGCTTGAACTCCCTACGCCACAGGACCCTTTCTCCAGCCCCTAGAACTTACCTTGGCCTTCGCATTGACTTTGGCTTTGTTCTGGAGTAGATATTTAGCCACTTCTGTGTGCCCTGCTCTGGCTGCCATGTGTAGTGGGGTCTCTACTTTCTGTAAAATAACAAAATTACAGAACTGTTAATACATGCTGGACTTGTCAAAGGATATATGCAGAGCTCCAAAGTGTCAGGCTGGAACAGCTCAGTGGGTTTTTGTCCAAGAGGTGGAGTTGCTCCAGCACACAGCTCTTTAGCCTGCTGTGTGTGTGTGTATGTGCATGTGCATGCATGCATATGCTCATGTATGCATTCTAGTTATACTTAAAAGTAAATATCAGAGCTAATGAATATTCAGAAATGTAAACATGTTTCCATGTAACATGGAAGTTCCAAAATATAATCCAAAATAAAGCCCCAAAGACTCACAGATGTGTGACAAATGTAATTGGAAAGCATTGGTATAGATCAGCGATGGCAGACCTTTCAGAGCTTTTAATGATCCAAACAGCCCTCTGTGGCACGCATGCCATAGGTTCGCCGCCGCTGGTATAGAGAAATGTGTGCCACATGTCTGAAGCCTTTGCCATCCGAGAGTTTCACCTCTATCCCCAGAAAGGAGACTCTGGGAGCCCTTGCCAGAACTCCCCCACCAGAAGCTCCACTGTCCCCAAGGGCTTACCACATTGGAGGCATTGGGGGATGCCCCCCGCTGTAGGAGGTTCTTCACGATGGGCAGGTGCCCCATGAAGGAGGCCACATGGAGAGGGGTCAGGCCAGACTAGAAGAGACAAGAACAGAATGAGCAGGTGGGGCCTCCCAGAGGGGAGGGCGGCAACATCTAAAGCTTCCATCTAATGCTAGATGCTCATGGCTGCTTCTCCAAGAGGAAGGAGCTAGCAGGTTTGCTTTCAGAAAAAAGGCCAGAGGAACAAAATCACTGGAGGGAAAATTCTGTCCACTTCTACCACTCAAAAAATTGCTTTGGATCTTCCAAAGCTCTCTGAGACTTGACACAGGGCCCCTTGTCTCAGTCCCAATTCATTCTGCTAACCAGGTACACATACACATGTGCACACACACACGTGCACATACTCCTGCAGCCACAGGCATCTATGAAGGAGAACGAGCTCACCAAGAGGGCAAGGCTCAGGGAGGGAGGCCAGTGCAGAGCCAGGGTTCATGCCCTACCTCGGTGACCGCTTCGATGGAAGCCCCCGTCTTGAGCAGCAGCTCCATGACCCTGATGTGGTTCTTCTTGCAGGCGATGTGTAGGGGGGTAAAGCCGTTCTGCAGCCCCACACAAAGGGAGACAGATTTCAGGGTTACATAGTAGCCCAGGGGCACCTGGGGACTGGCAAACAGACCCTGATGCCCCCAGACCAATGAATAAATGCACATCTGCGGGATAATTTTGTGATGTCTGTTAGAGTAAATTGCATAAGAAATAGGTAGCTGTTGTTTTGTGCACAGAGCATGTTCCTGAACACACTGTGTAGAAGCCTTTTAAAAAATATTCTATCACATTTCTGGATGCACCGAGAGCCAGCTCTGTAAAGCTCCCTTAAGGCTAAATTTACAATAAAGAGTACTTTTCAGAAGCAAATCATGTTCCTTCTGCCCTGAAGCTGTAGATGGTTTGAGTGAGATGGATGTCTGGCCTGAAGTGAGATATTCTGGAATGTTAACTCCACAGGGGCAAGGGCAGGGCTTTTTGTTTTCATTTTTGTCTGTCTTTTCAGTGCTTTATCCCCTCAGGGCCTGGTTCTCAAAAAAGAGGAAGTGGTGTGGGGAGAGAGGGGATGGTTGGTGCCCTCTCCTAACAGTGACAATGTGTAGAGACACTTCAGATTGTCAGAACTAGGAGAAGCTACAGTGCCCAATGGTAGGGGCCAGGGAGGGTACACAGGACGACACGGCAGCTCCAAATGGCAACCATCCTGAGGTTGAGAACCTCAGACACCTGAGTATGGGGCTGTGGCCAGTGTTCCAGGGATTCTGGAGAGTGAATGAATCCTGAACCACCCTCTGCTTTCCTGGCCCTTCGGCTCTCCTCTGGCAATGGGCAAGACCTTGATGGGGCCATGCACCTGCTCTGTGTGGATATATGGCCCCTCCAGGTCCATAAATGCCTGGGAGCTCCTGCTTGGGTGATGAGGGAGAGGAATGGGCCGTAGGAGGCAGACTAAGACACGACTGCTATCAGTTCTGCTGCTCCAGCCCATAAACACACTGTGAGCACTGCTTCCTGAGTCAGCTCTTCAGGGCACAAACACAGCCCTGACCATTAGCACTGTCTGTGGGGGCACCTGTGCCAACCTTGGCCTGGGCTGGCAGCTCTGGGCTCCTCCCTCTGCCCTGGGCCCTGCACGACCTTCTCCAATCGCCACCAACTCACCAGGGCTCTGGAGTTTGGTTTGGCCCCTTTATCCAAAAGGACCTTGGCCACCCTATGATGGCCACAGTGGGCTGCCACGTGGAGGGGGGTCAGGTGGTCCAGGGTCATGTCGTCTATCTCTGCATTGTATTGCAATAGAAGCCGGACACAGTCGAGGTGGTCTCCCTGAGCCGCCATGTGAATTGGGGATAGGCCATTCTGGGTGACAAAGAAAAACAAGTGATCAGAAAGCCTTCTAGGAATGGAACACAGAAATTCAGGACAATGGGGCCTGAATCTGACTCCAAGTGACATATTGAAGTGACACAGAGTGATAACCTCACTTCCTACTCTCCAACTTGGATCCTAAGTGAACCTCCCTCTTCCTGCTGGCTTTAGGCTATAACAGTCTCCTTCCCACCTAGGCAAATCCTCCATGCCATGTGGCCAGGCCACTTCTTCCATGAAGCCTCCCCTGCACAGCCCAGGCCTGCAGGGGCTTCCTGATCTGCACCACGGGGAAGGAGGCCTTATTCTCACACTTGCTGAGCCACTCCCTGCCATGCATCGGCACCTTTCCAGATGTGTGTGTCTTTTCTTCTGACTCACCAGCTTCTTAATTAGAATAGGGGACTGTGCCTAAAGTTGCTAAAATGCCCTCAGTGCCCAGGGAATGCAGGTAACGTGTACAGTGGTCTTTAATCAATGTGGTCTTGAGGGAAGGAAGGAGACAAAATACCCCTTGGGTCTAAATTCTGCTGTTCTATGCCCTGACACATATGTCCATAGCTGTGAGTGGGCCTGGTTTCTGCCTTGCTCTACTTTGATAGGTTTTTAAATTCACCCCAGAGAATAGGCAGAGGACCTGGAGGAGGTACTGGTGGCACTGTGGGGTGACGGCCTTAGCCCTTCATGGAAATGCAAATCTTCATATTAGAACCTAGGAATAAGCTTTGGTTTGGCTCCTAATGGAGTCTGAGAAGAACAGTTTGTGTATGTGTGTGTGTGTGTGTGTGTGTGTGTGTGTGTGTGTGTGTTACTGGGCATTGAACCCAGGACCTTTGCATTGAGCTATATCTACAGTCCTTTTTTTTTCTACAGCCCTTTTTTAATTAATTTTTTTTTTTTGAGACAAGGTCTTGCTAAATTGTCAAGGCTGGGCTTGAACTTTTGATTCTCCTGCCTCAGCCTCCCAGAGTGTTGGATTATAGCTGTGTGCAACCATGCCATGCTACAGCTCTCTCTTTTCTCCCTTCCGTCACTCCCTCCCTTCTTTTTTGGGCTGTACTAGGGATCAAACCCAGGGCCTTCATGCTGACCTATATCCCCAGCCCTTTTTATTTATTTATTTTTACTTCAAGACAGCATCTAATTTGCTAAACTTCCCAGGCTGGGCTCAAACTTGCAATTCTCCTGCCTCAGCCTTCCAGAGTGCTGGGATTATAGACATGTGCGACCATGCTGCCCAGCCAGGCTTTTTTCTTTCTAGTTTCACTTCCATCTAGCCCAGGCTCTGCAAATATCTAGGGTTCTTAGCTCCTGTCTTTCCTGGAGCTAGAATGAAAGAGATAGAGACTGATTTAGAGAAGTAGGCGAACTTTAGTCAGGGGGCCAAATTTGGCCCTTGGTTTGTGAATAAAGTTTTATTGGCACATGGTCACTAGTTTGCACATTGTTCAGACATTGTTCAGGACTGCACTTCTGCTCTGTTGGCAAAATTTAATCATTGCAACAGAGAGAGCAGCCTGCAAAGCCTAAAAATACTTAATATCTTTAGATAAAATCTTGCCAGCTTTGATCTAGATCATAATTAGAGCCTCTTATGTGACAAACATGGCAATAAATGTCACATGAATGGTTGCCTTTGGCTGTGGAAGCATCTCTATTTTCCAGACATGGGAATCCCTCCCAGTGCATGTGACCTGGAGCCCCGCCTTAGAGATACCTCTCCCAGGAAGGAGGCACGGACCTTGGTTTTGGCCTGGATGGGTGCCCCGTGGTCAAGCAGGATCTCTGAGATGCGCACATGACCATTTCGAGCTGCACAGTGGAGAGGTGTCAGTTCATCCTTTAAAAGACAGTGAAAAACAGAAAGCCGGGAAGGCATCCATCAGAAGCCACAAGGGAGCAGCTGGCTGCGGACGTGCTGATGCTTCCCAGTCAGCCCAGCTTCGTCCCCAAGCCCACCACCGCAGGCTCCCCCTGAGTCCCTAAGACCCGACCTTGACATTGGGAAAGGCTTGTGCTGGGACCCACCTTGGTCCTCGTTTCGATCTGTGCCCCCCGGTCCAGCAGGAGCCGCACCATGATCACGTTTCCCCTGCGGGAGGCGATGTGCAGTGGGGTGATGCCGTTCTGGAGGGGAGGAGCAGGCTGGTCAGAGCTCCGTGTCCTCTCCATGCACGATATGCGCCCCATGCTGGCCCCCACCCAACCCACAGCCACTCTAACCTTTGGGCAGGTTGACTCTCCCCAGGAGGGAGCACAGACCCTGTGAGGCCTGGGGCTGTGGTAGTTGATCTCCCAAGGCAGCCCAGCCCCATCCCCATCCCTGGAGGGAAGCTGACAGATGGTTATCTAAGAACTGGCTCCACACTTCCCATCTCTAGAACTGCCAAATGTCCTCTTGTGTTTTCTCAAGCCCTGAGGATGACTAGGGACATGGCAAGAATAGGCCTTCACATACACCAGGGCTGCTTCCTCCTAGGCTTGTCAGCAGCATGCATGGCTCCATGGTGCCCAAGCAAGAAGTGGGGCACCCTGGTTCCAGACAGGCGCAAGAACCAGTGATGGTACCTTCGGTGTAAAGTTGACGCTGGCACCCCTGTTGAGGAGGAGCTGGGCCACACTGAGGTTCTCGTAGTGGGCGGCGATGTGGAGTGGGGTGAACCCCGTCTGGGCACAACAGAGAGAGGAAATTCATCACCTGTGACTACCAGCACCTTCCCCCAGGGCAGCCCAGGGGTCCCGGAGGAACTGAGACATACAGCAGATTTTGATAGGGCCAAGAGACACTTGTGGCAAGTTGTGTTCCAAAGCGATTGTGACCATGCTTCAGCTCACGAGGTTACCCCAAGTTCTAGCCTACTCCTCTGGATGGCTACTCATGAGGAAATCTCGTTCATAAATGAAGGTGTGCGGAGCTCACAATCCTAAGATGACTCAGCTGCCTGTCCAAAGCAGACTCTGACTGCCCCGATCCAGTCTGTCTCCTCACACCACCTCCATGCCCAGTCGGCCATGGCCCAGACCAAGCTCAGGGGTGAGGAGGGGGCTACGTGACAAACTGCAAATCCACTCCCACAGAGGAGCACTTCCTACAGGTACGGCATTGGGTCAGCAGTGCCTGGTAAGATCAGACCACATAGACAAGTAACTGGCCAGGCCTCCTGGGGACCCCTTCCCCACATTCCAGCCTCTGCATGGTAGGGGTACTCCCTCCCTGCCAAGGGAAGAGGCAGGGGGCAGAAGAGATGAAAGTTCAGATCGCCACCTCCTGAGGCTCCTGGAGACCTCCTGCCTCATAGGATGCTGGAATCCATCCTGCAAACACTTGTCTGGGTGCTCACAGGGACCCTGGATGTGCACAGCTGGCCAGGAGAAAGCAGGGAAGCACAGGGCCTCTTCCCCATTGCAGGGCTTCCTGAGTCTGGCCGGCAACTCCCCAGGGGCTTGGCCTGGTGGCCTTACCTTAGAAAGCACATCTGGGTTGGGGTCGTTCTGCAGCAGCACAGCAGCCGTCCGAGTGTCATCATTGCGGGCTGCGATGTGCAGGGCTGGGAGGCGCACCTTGCCTTTTGTCCCATAGTTGATGAGGTGGGCCACCACATTCTCATGGCCCTGCTGCAGAGCCACAGCCAGTGGAGTGAAGCCATCCTGCAGAGGAGGGGAAAGACCAATTTGCTTGGCCTGCAGACAGGACACAGACTTCCACCATGGATTCCTGCTCCAAGGGTCTGAGCCTGCAATGCCTCCTCCAGCATGCTGCTCTGTATGCAAATCCCTCTCCTACCTGCAGGCCCAGCTTACACACTACCTCCTTCCTAAGGCCTTTCTGGGTCCCATTTGCTCGTTCCATCTTCTCACAGGGTCTGCAGTGATTTTTCTTTAGCACTTAATTTTCCTTACATTTGGTTCCAGCCTGAATGTGTGCTATGAGAGTCTCTTTTTTAAAGGTATTGGGGATTGAACCCAGGGCCTTTACACTAAGTTATATTCCTAGCCCCTTTTTATTTATTTATTTTTATTTTGCATCAGAATCTTGTTAAGTCACTCACTAAGTTGCCCAGGCTAGGCTTAAATTTGCAGTCTTCCTGCCTCTGCCTCTCAGAGTGCTGAGAATGTTTATGAGCCACCATAGCCAGTTTATGAGAGACTTTTTATTGCACCTTGTTTTTTTGCCTAAGCTCCCTCTCATCCCATCTTCTGGTACCAGTACTGATCTTTGAAGATGGCAGATGTATTCCTGAATATCTACTACATGCTAGAAACCAATTCAGGCCCAGGGCACTGGGCTGTGAGTTACTAATATTAATTCCCTCGTTTGCATATTCCTGTGAATGCTCTGGGGCCCCATGAAGTGGGGTCATACAGTCACTGAGCTATGCAGTGTTCTGGGCCAAGAGAAACCTCAGCTCCATCCAGCCCAGACCTACCATTCCCAGGACAAGGCTCAGGATCAGAGATAAGAAAACTTGCTCTCGGGTGTGCCAGGGGTTTTCGACAAGACCCCTTCTCAGAAGGCCCAAGGCAGCCTTGTCAGCCTGACATACCCAGCACCCCACCTGCCAGCCTTCTGTGCTGGCTATGGTAGGAATGACGTCCTTGAGTCCAGCGTCACTTCTTTGCTATGTGATGGGCCTTCTGAGACCCATGACTTGGTCTCTCATCTTCTTGAAGTGCCCAAGGGCACCCAGGACCAGTGACCTGTACTTCTGGAGCACTCAGTGACCCATGACATCCTTACGACATGTGTGGCAATGTACATGTGTGTCACATACCCAGGACATCTTCCAAGGTACTTACTTCTGTGGCCACATTCTGATTAGCTCCATTTTCCAGTAAGAACTTCACCACTTCCAGATGATTCTCTTGTGCTGCCATGTACAGAGGTGTGAAGCCTTTCTGTAAACCCAAAGAAAAGCCATTCACATCAGGGATGTGAAATGAGCCACCCCCTTAGGACAGGACAGCTCCCCCTTCACCTCTGTTCAGTCCCACCTGTGAAACCATGTTGTCACTCTGAACTGGGCTGGTGGAATTATTACGAAAGGCCACAGGGTGGGGACACTTCCCTGTGGAAGTCTGTTTCATTCTTTACCATTGGTCAGTCTTAGGCTCATTTGTTCCCTTCAGCTTTTGCTCCCTTCTTCATTAACTCCCTCCCAGCATACATAAAATTTATCTCCTCACATGAGCCATAACTAAAAATATTATATGCCTGATTTATTGAACAGACATGGGGTCCACAACAACCCAATCCCAATGTGTAGAAAAACCATGAAAAAAGGGTAAAGGGTGGATAACATGGCGCTAATAACCCTAGACTCTGCTACAGTGTGTGTGTGCACACATGCATGCACAGCAGACTCATTCCCACTGTGTGGGAGGAAATAGCAGCACGCAGTGCATCACCTGGGACTGAGCATTGACATTGGCGCCATAGTTGACCAGCTCCCGGACCACCTCGTTCTGGCCAGCGAGGGCAGCGATGTGCAGAGCGGTATTCCCTTTCTGAAACACAGAGGGAGGGACTGAGGAAGTTCCCTGACTGGGCACAGGATCAGAAGCAAGGCTGGGGTCCCCGGGGCCTTTGCTTATAGTTGCAGGAGGTGGAAAATGCACATACTTGCTCCTGGCCCATCCCACATCTCATAATAGTATTGAAAGTGTGGGGAGAAAAATTTCTATGTAATCTGGGATCAATAGCGCTGATCACAAGAACACACGCACACTTGACTTCCCAATCCATTCCCCTGTCACAAAGCACATTTGTGAGGTTGGCCGGCAGGCCGCCGTCTTGGACCTGCAGCTCCACTTAGCACAGTGCAAAGCCATTGGTGGGCAGGAACCAGGGAAGGGCAGGACATCCTGGACCAGCAACCCTGTTCTCCTAAGGGCAAATGCTGGGCCAGAGGGGACAAAGACCACAGAGCATGAGCAGGAGAGCAAAGTATTGAAGGGAAAAAGAAAGGATGAGAAACACTCTATGATGTCTAAGGAAGAGAAGGAAAATACAAAAACAAATAGGGGAGCTTTGACAGCAAAGGAAATATAAAGAAAGAAGATTCAGGGCCAGGGATTCAGCTCAGTGGTTCCGTTGCCTGCCTCACAAGCACAGGGTCCTGAGTTCGATTCCCGGTACCAAAAAAAAGAAAGAAAGAAAGAAGATTCAAAATATTAATAAGTAAAACCGGATGAACAAGCTTTCACCAAATTGGAGAGGAGAGAAACAGAGATAATAATAAAGCCTGGGAGAAAAGTGAAGCACATGATTGTTTTAAACTTTTTGAAAAATAAGAACATTAACAAGCCAAGCAAAGCAGTGCTTGCTTGTGTTCCCAGCTTCTCGGGAAGCTGAGGCAAGAAAGCCAGCACCATGGCCCAAACAGAGGCTCTGCACCACCTGTACTGGCTTCCCTATTCAGGGACATTCTGGGCTCAGGCTCTACTCAGCACTTCCTTCAAACAGGGCAGGTGGAGAATCTGGGACCACAGCCAGACCCATCTGTTTCTGTGCTGTTTAAGGAGCCGCAATTTCAGGTGACCTCATCTTTGATCGTTCAGTCGACCCCTCAAGGCCTCGGGTCCTGCATCCTAGGATTCAATCAACCTTGGAAGGAAAATACTAGAAAAGTACTGCACCTGTACTGAACACATACAGACTCTGTCTTTTGTCATTATTCCCTAAACAAAACCATATAACAACTATTTACAAAGCATTTACATAGTATTAGACATCTGAAGTCATCTAGAGATGACTTAGAGTCTATTGGAAGATGTGTGGAAGTTATGAGCAAATACTGTGCCGTTTGATAGAAGGGATCTGAATGTCCTAGATCTTGGTACCTGTGGGTGTCTTGGAACCAGTTCTTCCAGGATATAGAAGGCAAGTGTATGTGGTTTTTAAACTGACCTCCATGAGCATGTACTGATCATCTCCAGAGGTGACAAGTGGGGACTTAACTCAGTTCTGGACTGTGGCCACCTGTCACCTGCATACACAGCTTCTTACCAAGGGGGAATTGAGTGGCATGGGCCAAGCTCCTTGGCCACCTCATGACCAATGGTGCCGGTGTGTCCACGGGTGCAGGGCGCTAGGGGGCTGGCAGGAGCTCGGGTCTTTTTTTCTTAAACTTTGGTTTATTTAGGTACCAAAGCCTGTGTTGGGCAGAAGTTTCCTGTTTGTTGCCTCCTAAACCTCTTTTTTATTTCTCCTTAAGTCCTATTTGATAAGTACAAAGGTTCTTTGTCAAATATTCATCAGAGAATAAACATCAGAAGTAAATGATAGATGCTAGCTAATAATTTTTCATGGAAGTCTAAAGAACCTATCAGAGAACATTTGGCACCTGGGTCTGGTTCATTCACAGTACTGAGTAGAGCAGGCCTGTGGGCACCAGAAGCCTCTCTAGAAGCCAGGGCTCTGAGCTGTGCATGGAGCCCACCCATCTCTGTGGATATGGAGCCCAGGTCCGTGCGTACTGTGTGGGTGGGTATGGGGCAGAAGACCAGGCACAGGGGTAACTGAGACTTGGGTTGCTGCCCTGAAGGCAAATATGTCAAAGGCTTCTTTCCCTCGAATCCCCTGCCTGAAGTCTACCCACTCTCCTGTCCTCCACCCACAGGGAGGGAAGGCCCTCTCTGTTTTGGCAGGTGGTCCCTGTGCCACCCAGGCTGCAAATCTTGGCCTGTGCCATCAGGGAAGAAGGCAGCGCTGGTGAGAAGTGAGACAGAGGGAAGACCTTGGGAAATGGGCCTATGGCCCCATGTGTGCACACATACCACCCAACACACACACACACACACACACACACACACACACGCTCTGCAAAGCTCAAGAAGGCCTTGGCCCTGGGTCAGGGAGCCAAGAGGCTGTGACCCTCTGTGTTCCCTGCCCCTCCCTCAGCATGGAAGAATTGGGCCTCCAAGGAGCAGGAGAAATCACTGAGCTCCATTTTGATCCACAAATAGTCAAACGTTTCCATTTTCAGGGACTCATAGAGCCATAGAAGGGAGAGGGCTGAATCGGTGCCCAGTGGAGGTGAGCAGAGGGGAGCAAAGCTGGGGCACTGGCATGAAGGAGGGGAAAGCTCACTCTGCTTGTCAGCCTCTCAGGGGCTGACAGAAGGAGGATGAGAAGAAGGGGAGCCGGAGTGTTTGCCTCATGCTTTTACACTTTTAAGCACCACTTAGGAACCTAGATTAGTTTTGGCTTCTTGCTTTCTTATATTTTTAATCTTTCCCAGGCTTGGGAAATCCATTGCAATTCCTCAACCTGTTAGGTGTCTTCCTTAGCCAATGGTTTGAGTTTCATTTCCCCCCCCCGCTTTCCTCTGTATGGCATTCCAAAACCACACTGGCTTCTAAAATTTCCATAAATAAAAAGACACACCAAGTGTTCTTTGCAAAATAACAATCAAAGAGGGGAATTTGGAAAGAGTAAAAATGCTGAAGCATAATGTTTTCACAGTTCCTGGGGAAATGCCAGGGAAGAGCGGCCACCCAGCCCACGCACAGCCTGTCAGATGGTACACTGCTTGCAGCCAGGTACAAGAGGGCATCAAAAAAAATAACAATTGCATCCCTTCATTCAGAGAAGGACAGGGTGGCAACAGGGTTAGAAAAAAAATGCCCCAATCTAGTATATGTGCTGCTGAAGCGAGCACAAAATGCCCCAATCTAATGCCAGAAGGATCAGTTTGGTTTATTTTACCAATGAGTGCAAGTGAGATCTTTTCACATTTGGGAAATGACATGAAAATTACAAAATTTTACTTTGTGAGATGATTCGACCTTCATAATATTTTGGTAGTTCACTTCATACCCATAAATTGTATCTGTTCTCTACATATTGTTCTGTGTTCTCTGCTTGAGAGGCGGCAAAATGCATGCTGCAAGGAGCTAAAATTGAGGCTGGGTGTGAGACCCCACTTACCAAATAACAGGTGGGAAATAAGAGGCTGGGAGAAAACTCAAGTAACAAACATGAGAAGCAGGAGGCAAAAGCAAAAGGGGAAGTCAAGGAGACAGTACTTACGTTAGTAAATGGAGGTGATTTTTTTTGTTTCATGATTACTTTTGCTTTTTAAATCCTGCCTGTAACTGTTTAACAAGTTTAAGAAATAAAACTTAACCTAGACTCTGTTCTACAGCCCTCAATAACAAGTCACCAATATTTACTGATTTCTTCCTATATGTTTATATACACTTTATGTACACCACTGCACTGTGATTGAGTATTATACTCCCCATGTTACACGAAGAAACTGAGGCAAGGCCAAAGGTCACAGAGCAGGGAAGTGCCTCAGCTGAGATGTGAACCTGAGGCTTCTCACTGAGAAGCTTCTAGGACTCCAGGTGCCTGTATGAGTCAACAGCCCATGGAACCACCAGGAAAAAGTCAGAGACTCAGATTTGTAATCTGCTGATGAGCAAAGTAAAGGGCCACTGAATCTTTCTGGAAAGAGGATCCTGTGTTTCAGGTGGTGTTATGGACTTGCTGAACTGGGAGACAACTGAAAGGACAAGACAAACTCAGATCCATGTCTGGGTTTCTCTCACAAAGGACTGGCTTCTCGGCCAGTGTCTGGGATAATATGAGAGAGGGATAACACAGCCCGAAATTCTCAATGCAAAGCGCCCCCATTTACCATGAGACATACCTTGGTTGTTGTTTCTAGAATGATCTCTTTGTGCAAAAGTTCAACCACCATCTTCACATGGCCTTCCTTGGAGGCCAGATGTAAGCCGTTCAGGCCATTCTGCAAAGACATAGGCAGGAAGTATGGCTTAGTGGGCTATACACCCTGCCTTTCCGAGGGCCTAGGAGGAGGAGGGAGCTGGAGTGCTCTGACGTCGTTTACAGGGGTGCTGTGCATCTATTCCCTCACAGGGTACAGTGCTCCAGCCTCCCTGAGCACCTGCTATGCAGGTGGGCGCATGGGGACCAGGACAGCAGAGACACAGAAAGGATGGTCACAAGACCACGTGTCCTGGATATCAGTTAAGGTGGGGAAGCTCTCTCAAAACCAACTGGGAAGCTCACAGCTCAGACCTCGGACAGTCCTCAGGAATGGCTGTGGTTTGGAAGTGGCCCCCCAAAGACCCACGGTGGTACAGCCTTTAAGAGGTGGGGCCTACTTGGAGGAAATTAGGTTCCTGGAGGTCCTTGACAGGGATACTGGGGTGCAGGGGGTTTTCCCCCAATCTCCCCTCTCTTTTTCCCAGCTTCCAAGAGTTGAACAGCTCCCTCTGCCACACGCTCCTGCTGTGATGTACCATGTCACCACAGGCCCAAAGCAACAGAGCCCAGTGACCAGAGACTGAAACCTCTGAAACCATGAGCCACAATAAACCTTTTCTCTACTGAGTTTATTTTCTCAGGTATTTTGTCACAGTGATGGAAAGGGCACTAACATAAGCACCTCATGTAACTCAAACCGGTGGTAAAGCTTCAGTGCCCTTGTAAAATTTCACAGCAGTGACCAGGAAAAGCAAAGAGATGATACCACTGGATCTTCAACATCTACAGAACTCAACATACATTTACTAAGGTGACAAACTTTGAAATGAGGCCATATGAGACAAAGTACTACCACCCAGCCAGCTATATGACTTCCTCCATAGAAAAATCAGCATTACAATTTCCCTTTTGCAAGCCTGTCATTTCAAATGTAACCAAAGAAGCCTCCCTATAGTTATGCTGTAGGAAAAACAAAAGAAAACAAAACCCAGTTTTCATGCCTAGCCATCTACCGAAAAGAGCAGACACCTCCCTAAGCAAAAAAGTTCCAGTCACTCCTGGAGGGACTGCACTGTGCCCCCGAAAGCACCCACGCAGAGTGTATGATCACCCTCCGGCTTCTGACCCTCATGCTACAAGGTGTCAAAACCTGCCAGCAAAAGCTGACATGGAAGCACTGACATGACTCAGACCGCAGATAATTCTGATGACACAGTGGAAAGAATGTTTGGCTCTGACAGGCGAGATTGGTTCTGCACAGAACAGGACCACAGTCAGTGAGCCATCTCCATCCCCAGCTTTTTGTTTTGTCCCTCGCCTCCTGTTTCCCTGCCAATTCCCCTTTCCTCCCTCTCCTCCTTCCCATTTCCTGTTGTGATCAGTTTGGTTACAGTGCCTTCCTTTCCAGGGAATAGCACAGAGCCACTTCAAGCTGTGCCTAATAAAAATGACCCCCCAACACAATAGGGAGTGGCTGCTAACGTGTGGTGTGACTCACCTGTCCCAAGCATCTCCACATCCCACCCGGTTCCTGAAATTCCTACATCTCCCTGGCTCCAGGAATCATTTTCAGAAAATTCATGTTACATAAAACAAATTTCCATCCTGGAAGTGGCCAAGTATTATTTTCCTGTCAATAGCTCAGCCTCATTGTTTTGCCATAACCAGCAAAGGAAAGTCCCCTAAGTCGTGATGGTGGACTGAAGTGTGCAGAACTCTACCTAAGAGCCTTGGCAGGGTGGGTTAAACAGGTGCAGAAAAGAGAGCTGGTGGCTGCAGAGAAACTACCTGCATTCTGTTCAGATCAGGCAGAACCTGCACCTTGAGGAGCCAATGAGTACAACTGCCAAATCGCTGCCCACCAGCACAGCTAGTCCTACCAGCACATGTACGTGCGTGTGCGCACTGTGCATGTGCACATGTACATCTGTGTGTGCACGCAAGTCAGTGGCTGGTGTCCTCGCTGAAATGCCTGAAAATTGCCATTAGATTTCTTCCTCTTGTGGAGTCTGTACACCACTCACTATAGGGCCCAAAGCCGGGTATATTCTTCACACCCCAGTGTGAATGAATCTGTCAGATCTGAGATAGGTCACAGCCAGTTTTGATAACAAAGGCAGAGAGCAAACTTGAAGGCAGACAACTGTCTGTTTCAATAGGAGGGTGGGGGAGGTGGAAGGCCATCAACAGACACAGCCCATTTCTCTCAACTCAATTTGCAAAACACAAATTCAGGCACAAGCAATTTGTCAAGTGACAGGTTCTGCAGAGGCCCTGAGGATACCTGCTGTTCCCATTGCCTACAGCTTTGCCACTGAAACTTCCCTGGGGCAGCTCGCCCAGAGGAACCCCTGCTCCTCTCCAGAGCACTGCCATCTTTGCTGGCTAGCACATGGCATCAAGGCAACCCTTCTCGAGAAGGTTCAGAGGATAGAGGCACTGAGGGCCACCCCGGGGATGTCGTGGGAATTGGTGGCAGCTGTTGTCATCTGTTCACTGCAGAGGTTGACTCCAGCAGGGGCAGCCACCAGGGTGGCCCTGGAGCTGGCTGCTAGGCTCAGGGCCTGCCCAGGCAGCCCAGTCACCATGATGGCACTGGTCGGTCCTGAAGGCCTCAAGTGGGGAGCTGGCAAGCCTGGCAGGAAATACCAAATGTCCACCACTAGTGCCCAGGTTGGCTTGTCCCTGCTCTTTGGCCATTGTCCAGAGCTCAGTTTGGAGGGATTCTAAATATTCTGTGTGACCAGAGAATGGTGGAGTTGAAAGGGATATTGAGATCTCTGAACCCTGATTTCTTCCTAAGCCACGAAATCAAGGTCCAGAATGGGCAATCATGGGCCAACGTCATTCAGTCTTTCTAGGCCACAGCCACACAAAGCCAACCTCTCGCGGGTAAAAAAGGTTGAGGTTTGCCCCCTAGGAGCTAGTACACTTCTTTTTATCAGATGATGAAAAGATACTTTCCCTTTTTCATTACCAAGAAGCTGAGAGCAAACATTCAGTCTCAATAATGAGCCCCATGGATCTGGTTGTGCAGCCTGCATTTGAGCTCTAGGATGTTATCCACTGCCCTGTCCACAGAAAGGCCCCTTTCTTTCCTCTCCCTGGGTCAAAAGCTCTTTTCCTGAGCTTGGCAGAAGGTGCTGATCTCTAACAAAAGGCAGCCAGTGGGTCTGCAATGGGTCTGCTCTCAGTTTTACTCAGTCTTCATCCCAGGTCCTGGTTCAATGCTCTCTTCTTTATGTCTCTTGAACTTTCTTGCTTTATTTTAACTTATTTGTGTTCAGCAAAGTTTTTCTAACTTACCTCCAGGCCTGTGACTATGGTGACCTGCATCCAGTGTCTGACTCAGCCACAAAACAAGCATAGTGTGGCACAGCTAATGAGGGTGTGTGAGAAGGCCCAGGAGTTTATGCACAAGCAACAGGGCAGTGACAATACCTGTCTCCACTTCAGTGGCAATCCCTGTGGCCTTCAGTGCTGAGCATCTACTTAATCCAATTGAACAGACATGTACTGAGAACCTACCATGCCCAGCAGTGACCCACAGATGAATGAATCACAAAGCTGTTCCCTTGAACAACTCACTCCTAGGGGGGAGGAAACAGATTTGTTCAAAATAAAAGCAAGTCATTTAAAAAATGCCCCAAATGGCATGGATAAGACCAGAAGTAGCACAGAGGATGAAGAAACTGCTCTTCAAGGGGCCTCAAGAGCTTCTTGGAGGCCTTTTCAAGGCCAAGGATCCAGCCACCAAGGCCACAAATTCATCAGTAAGGATGAGATGAGAAGCTAGGTCTGAGCTGAGTTTGAAACCCACAAACAAGCTAACCCTGGGGACGCTCTCTGCCCAGTCCTCCTTATGGAGCATCTCTGCATCCTGTCAGGGGCAGCTGAGCTCTGCAGAGGCACAAGCACACAGACCCACCATGGCAGGTCTCCTCCAGCTTCTGGCCTGCTGGGCACCAGGCTGGTGGGCAGGGCAGGCAAAGGATTCTGAATAAGGTGCTTGGACCACTGACTTCTCAGATGAACACCACTGCAGACAGGAGATCACTTCTGAAATCTGAGAGTGCTCCATGGATAAACACCATATATAATGCTTTCTTTTTCTTAAAACCATTTTTAATTGCTCAAATGCAAAGGGGGAGGAGAAATGTAAATTATGCGAACCATTTTTTCTTTGCTGTGACGGTGGACAGAGATGAACTGCAATTTCCCATCCCTTCAAAGCCAGGAACCATATGTTTTATCTCAGTTAAATCCAGTGTAAGCTGGCTGCCAAAAGTAAAAGGCAAGCTGCTAAATCTCGCCTTTTCCTAGCAATTCCATCCAACCTCACAGCCCCTTCTTTCGAGGCCACATGGCAGACAGGCTTCCAGGGGATTAGGAAAGGGATACACCACATATTTCTCTGCTCAAATAACAGGGTATAGAAGAGAAGAAAATTGAAGTAGAGAAATATGAGAAGAAATGCTTGCACTAACTTGGAGGCTGGGAAAGAACCATGAACTATTTGTGGCCATTTTCTCAACCACATGGCTTTCCCTGCAGTTTGCTGAGGTCCTCTCCTCCCAGGATCCCAGTTCCACATGTGTTAGATGCTGAGTTTGTCCCATGGTCCTGCTCTGGACTATTCTTTCTTTACTTTCTTCCCTTCTCTTTTAATCTGAATAATTCTCTTGATTCGTCCTTAAGTTTTTTGACTCTCTCCTCAGCTACCTGCAGCTACTGATCAGCCTGCTGGAGACTCAGCATCACTGAGAAACAATTTTTTATTTCTAGTACTTCATTTGAATTTTTCTTAGAGTTCCTCTCTCTGTTGAAATTCTCCACAAGCTCATGGATATGATCCACTTTCCCCTGCAGAGCCTTTGACACAATGATGGTGAACCTTTTAGAGCTTTCAATGATACAAGCAGCCCGCTGCAGCCCACGTGCCATAGGTTCACCACCACTGCTTTAACATCTCAGCCATACATCTTATAACAGCTCCTTCAGCTACATGTCTGGTTCTGT